TTTTTTTCTTTTCATAATTCGACTTTTTTGGGCAATGATGACATTTTTTTGCTTGAAATAATTATTCAGCGAAATATTGCATAAGCAACATTAATAACATCATTAGTAAATTCTTAGTATTTTTTTCCGCAACCACATGTCTCTTTCAAGAATTTGTTTAGAAATAGATCCGCTGTGATACTTTTTTTAGCGACAGATTTTAAATAACTTTCTGCGAAGTTTGTGTTGTAAAGTTTCATATTTTTCTGAAACTAAACAAGTCATCAAAGCTATTATATGAATACAAACATTTAGAATATCTGTATAGGAACTGAAAGGCCTTCTCGTAGTATTCATCGTTAATAACATCATTTTCGCAAAAAAAAAAATTTGCGTTGTTGACATTAGCAATACCCTGATAGAAATATTTTACTGAAATTCTCTCTCCATTGACCCTAATTCATTATTATTCCATAAGTTTTATAATACCTAACATAAAAGAAATTTTGTTATTGTTTTTCAATAATATAATTTAATTTTCCTTATATTTCACAGTATTACATATTACATTTTATAAAGAAAATTATTATTTATTTTGAAATATAAGGGAATTCAAATTATACTATTAAAAAGTAATAAAATTTCTTTTATGTTAGGTATCATAAAATTTACTGAATTTAACTATAAAAAAACTAGATTTTTACTGAAATATTGATGGAATAACAATAAAATGAGATCAATTGAGAAAGAATTTCAGTAAAATTTTATTATACAAGAATCGGTATGAAAGTAATGTCTTCTAATTTCTTTCTAAGAAAATTTTATTCCTGAAACTTTGGCGTTTACATGAGTTTAATCTTACATCTTTATGGTACACATTTATTATTTTTCCACATAATTACCATCTTTTTCTATACACTTTTACCATCTGTGAATAAGACGCCTAAGTAGTACATATTAGTTTCACGTACGTTTCTTAAACGTATACATAGTTTCGTAACCGTAAAGAACTATTAAGAAACGTTTAAACAAATAGTATATTGTGCACCAAGGGGAGAAAATAGCGTTTTTCAGACGAGTCTGAAAAAGGTTTCGACTCGAGGTGTACACGATATTTTTCACAAGACCTTTACGGAAATGTTCGACTTCCATGCCTAGAGAGGGGTGAAAGTGGCCAATTTTACGCCAGGGCTTACTTTCCTCCCTAAGAAAGAAAATTGATACTTTCCATCCGGCATAGCGGATGGCTTTTTGAAATTTTTGTCATGTTAATTTTGTATTATGTGTGGGGCTTTGCCCCTGGACCCCGCATCACGCTATTTTTCTCTTTCTACTTAACGATACGCGCGCGTATAAACTGTACGAATGGAATACCAAACGCACACATTCTACAGGCATTCAAAAGTCGGACATTTCCGTAAAGGTGTTGTGAAAAATATCGTGTGCATCTTGGTGCACAATATATTATTGTTAAATTTTTTCTTTTAAAATTACAATTTGCTTTATCTATATAAATAATAGCTTTCACAGCCTTTGTTGAAACATTTAACCCTTAACCTGTATACGTGGGTCTACGGCGTCCGAACCAAAGTGATATATCTGCTCGTAACTGTAAAACTTGCAAGCCTATTAGAAGATATTAAATATAACGATGTTTATCAAAATAACTATACAATCATCACTACAATGTAGACAGATATTTCATGAATTTTTTTTAGATTTTTTAAAATACTTTAGGGTAAGAAAAAATAGCGCTGAATGTGACAGCCCCACGTATACGCTTAGAATGTACCGAAAAAACGTATACACTTTAAGGGTTAAATTTATATTGTATACTAATTATTGCAGAAAATAAATTATTTTATTTATGCAATATTATATCCACTATTTACTTAAATTAATTTTGTCTTATCGGTCTTAATCTATTTGTCATTGAACAAATCTGAGCTTAGAAAACTTCCAACAGTTGCAAAATAAATGTTCTGCTGAACGTAGCCATTGAAAGAACGTTTATACATATATATATATATATATATATATATATATATGTTTGTTCTGTTTAAAAAAAACTTCCTGAATTGATGCCATAAAAATTAAGACTTATACTATGACTTGAAAATTCGTTTTTTTTTTCTCACTTGCGTACTTCTAAACTCCCCAGGTACGGCCAGCCAGGTGTTCGGATTATCGAAGGAGAGTCGTCTACGCAGGTTAAAACGGAAAATCGTATTTTACAAAATCAGTTGGTCAAAAGTGTCGTCAGCTCTCCGACTATTTAATATTCACTGCCATGCAGTACGAAAAATCTATAAAAGAAAGTGATCTCGATCCTTATACGGTATCTCTCCCCTTTTATCTTAGATATGTGGATGATGTTGCAATGGCTGCTTTATTGCTCGTGAACACAAGTTTTTATTCTTTGAAATAAAAAAATGTTATAAAGTAAAATAATAAATTTGAGATTAAAATTAAAATATATAAAAAATAAGTATTTATTAATAATTTATTCTATTATAAAAGAATGATGCAATATTGAAGAAATTTTCAAGTTTATTTTTAATTTTATGTATGTACATAATATTTCATAATAAAAGTACAATTTGTAATAGAAAAGTTGAAAAAGTAGTTTCAGTGAAAAGTAACGTTTTTAAAAATACATACTTTATACATTATTCTTTGTAGAACAAGATTTGTTTTGTTAATTGAAATCTTTTTTACAAGAGTTCCTTTTAATATTCACTGCCAGTACGAAAAATCTATAAAAGAAAGCGATTTCGATCCTTACGGTATCTCTCCCCTTTTATCCTAGATATGTGGATGTTGTAATGGCGGCTCCTGCCTCTATGTTCAACATCATTCTACAAACTTTTAATTCGTTTCATCCTAGACTTCAATTTACTTTGGAAGAAGGAGTTGATAACAGACTAAATATTCTAGACGTTACTCTTATTTTACATAATAACCACATTATTTTTTGCTGGTTTCATAAACCTACATTTTCGGGGAGATACTTTAATTTTGAGTCGCGACACCCCCTCTGCCAAAAAAAGAGGCACAGTCATCTCACTTATAGACAGGGCTTTCCGCCTTTCTCATCCAAGCTTTCGCCAAAAAAATATTGAATTCGCGATCAATTGCTTGATTATTAACGGCTATCTGCTCCAATTTATCTTTCGCATTGTGAACAGCGAATGACTCTTAATTAGCCCGGTTTTCTTCCGATTAGATTTCCAACAGAGCCTCAACTCAACGAAAAATGTATAGTTTACGTCACTTACACATGCAGACAAAAATGTCAATACTAGCAATGTGAATGGAAACAAGATAAACTTAGATTATATAATCTTTACGCTATAATTATAAATATATGATATAATAATATATTTTAGTATATGCTAAGCATCAAGGATTATTATTCTCGATATTTTCTATCTTCTTTCAGCGAGAAAATATGACATCCCATTATCAACCATATTGCGAGAGTTGTAGCCGATATCCCTATGTCGGCAGAGTATCCGTAGGAGAGGAGGATCGTGTTGACTTTATCTATCAATTTGTGAAGGGACGATATGTTGCCGAGTACCACCAGAATGTTAGCATATTTCATACTGCCCCTGACATAATTGGGCCACCTGAATTTTCAAACTATAGAAAAGTCTTTCATTTACCATACTTTAAAAATGACTGGGTATGTGTATTTTCTAGTATTATCTTTTATTGTCCTGTACTGTAAAGTAATCGCAAACTAAATTTACACTACAAGAGTTTGTAGTATTTCACATTTTTTTATTTTTTAATACAGAAACTTCATAATTTTGGTATCTCAACATCTCCATGGCAAAACAAAGAACAGAATTACGAGCTTCATGTAATAGATTGGAATGAGGAGGCGTCGGTCAAAAAGAATTATATTGGTATGTAATTGTATTAGTATGTAATGTATTAATATTTAAATTAATGAATAAGATATTGTTAAAGATATATTTTTGCATGTTGAGAAGAGAATATAATTATATTTTCTATTTTGAAGATCTCAACTTTGATGAAGCTGTATATCCGATCAGAGTCTGTATTTACGAAATATATAATCCGGGAAACGTAACTCAAATTTGGGCTCAAGATTCTATAAATGATCAGTGGTTTCAATTGTGGGAGGAGTCGTCTCAGATTGTATCCTCGACAGCAAGATTATTTTCTCCACCGATATCTTGCAACTTTAAAACCGATTTTCTCAGATTGGTATTTAGAAACAGTTCACCTGCCTCTTACACAAAGCTAGATGCTGTGATGCTTATCGGTACATCAGAATTGATCCTTCCTAGAAATCCTAACGAGAGTTTAACAAATGTGTTAAAAAGAATTAACTGCATGTACTCTCCATACCATGAGGAAGTTCACAATTTAACAGAAGATTTTAAAAATCCACACTTGGATATAGTTCATCTGCAACAGAATTTTCCCAAATATTGCATTATTTGTAAAAGGTATATTATAATCATTGATATTAAGTAATATATTCAATATTTTTTTATTCTTTTAATAATAAATATTAATTTATTCTGATGTTATTTGCAGCGATGTAACGACCTCTTATAAGAGAAACAAAAAGGTATCTCGGGAGGTGATCCCGGGTTATGTACAACCCCTTGGACAAAGATATTCGCGTCGTATTTTATTAAAAAGCCATTCAAATTATACGAAGCATATGAAACTCTCTTCGGATGAGTCCAAGGAGCTATCAAGCAGTTTATCTGATCTTCCTGTAAAGTATTCTATAAGAAGTCTATTTTTCGTAATAATATTTATTGCAATGTCATCTCGTGTATTAAAGTTATATTTTATCTTTGCAGGATGAAATACTGCTAAAAATACTAAAAAACTTAGATTTGACAACGTTATGCTGCATGAGTTATGTAGATAAGCGCTTCAATAATTTAATACGGGACCCTGAACTCTATACACGTTTAAACGTGCGATGTGGATATATCACAGATATGGATGCTATGTTTTGTTATTTTACATCTAGATGTAAAAATTTGCAACAGTTAGATCTTACAGCAAGCTGCTTTGATGTTATGGATTTCGTAAACTTTCTTGACAATTGCGGTAGGCGTTTAACGCACTTAAGATTCAGGGACTGCGATTCTGTTGACAATTCTGTCTTACTTAAAATTTCAGAGATATGCAAAAATTTAAAAGGTACGTATGCATGTATATGTATATTGTGTATATATAATTGTTAAGATTAGATAAATTGCATATGACTAATACATATTCTTTTAAGAATTGGATCTAAATGGTTGTATACGTATAAACGACAAAGGATTTTCGTATCTCGAGAGACTGAATGCTTTGGAACATTTAAACTTTTGTAATCTATATATAAAGGCTCAACGTGTTTGCAAAATACTGCAAAAAAATCAATGGATGCGTGAGTTATATTTGGAAGATCTATATATATTTGAGTTAATGAAACTTGCGGACAGTAATAGAAGAAACCTAGACGTTGTCGCAATAGAGTTGAAAAATTCATGTCGCGACTTGGAAGTAATAAGTTTACGGTGTTCTAAATTTACATCTCAGGGTATTGATGCCCTTGCTGACTGTAAAAATTTACGAAAATTGTATCTTCCCCTGTAAGTATGTGCTACATTTTCTCTTAAAATATTATATTTTTTAATCAAAATTTGTGTGTTTGCTTTTCTTGAATTTCGAGCGTCTTGAAAATGTTACATTGATTTTCTCTTTGCGATTGAAATATACTGTAATAATTATATGACTTTTGTTATAGATACCCAATCGATGAGGACAGCTTGAGCAGATTACTTTCGTCCTGTCAACGTCTAGAAGTAGTTTATCTTGCCTATATTACCCTCACTGATCGCATTTTGAAATTACTAACGGGGTGCCAAAACTTGGAAGAGTTACATCTTTTTCATGTAAAACGTGCTACATATAAGAATTTATCCATTATTATGGAACAATGTCCTAAACTTCAAAAGTTTCATCTCATATGGTGTGATGTTAGTCGAAATAATTATAAGATTAATGAATGGAAGAAAGAATATTCGCATGTATCTGTCTACGTATTCGACTCAATATAATTTTAAAAGTTTCTGTTTACTATTTTGAGTCATATCAACAATTTACTTTTTATTTATATTTACTTTTTATATTTACATATTTACTTTTTAAAAATAATCTGGTAAACTATTGTATGTTGTAAAAGAAGTTAATGCTTAATAAAAATAAAATATTTATATTTATTTATTATTATATAAATAATAATCGATTATACATATAAATATAATCGAAGTGTTGAAGCCTTTTTTCCGCGATATGTTGATCGGTTGTCTCATTGCTGCGTTGCGGCTTGAATCACAGTCAAGATCGTTGTTATTCACATTGTAACAGTTTTATTACGTTGAAATTAACTTCTTATTTTTGAAAATGATAATGTTTAAAAAGAAAATGAACGCGTGGTCGCTACGCGTGTTAGAAGTGAAACTTCTGAAGGCAAGGCTTTAATTGCCATAACTTTTCTGAAATTAATACAAAAACTATACAACGGAATTAGTCACTCTAAGCCGCCCGCAACTCGAAAATGTAGTGTTACACGCAGTTCTCACTATTATATCCGTCTCATTGTTTTATCTTTTATACATGCAAAGGCACATGCAGGTTAATAGGATAGGCAGTATTGCATGTAGCGAGAGATAGCGCAGCAATCGAAAAGTTAAAATAATGACACTTTTTTTCATAGACTTCTATCGTAGTTGTAATTGCACGATATTGTTCTTCAATGTTTTCCCTAGAGAGCTAGATTCTCATTTTGTATATATAAACTGCAGTATTTTTGTATAACCAAATATTGTCGTCAGTGACAGCTCTATGTGCCTAAATTTTTAATTTTTTTTACGTTTTGGAAGTTAAAACCGATCTAGCCTTCTACATTTTTGTGCGTACTTTAATTCTAGACCAAATTTTTGCAATTCCGTAAAGCCAATTAAAAGTGGTTTGCTTTTAACTAAATGTCGGTAATTACTGCCACTACAGCATCCCCTTAAGGGATAGCAGTATAATTACCGACATTTTTTTGAACACACTAAACTTTTGAATTGGCTTTACAAAATTGAAAAAACTTTTTTACAGAATTAAAGTACGCACAAAAACAGAGTGCGCTGTAGTCGATTTTACATCAAAAACAAAAAAAATGAAAAAATTATAGTTTTGTTATCGATTTATGCAGTCGACTCGTGACAATTTTGCTGCACATAAAAATTTAAACTTTGTACGTATAAAATAAGCATACAGTGTATTCGGGATTACAAAAAAGAACAATGTTGTGCTTTCAGAAATGAGCCTATAAGATTTAGTATAAGAGAAAAATTGGTCTGAAAATCTCATATGTATGTATGTATGTATGCGTGTGGAGTAGTATTGTGTGTAGCGAGAGATGGCGCAGCAATCGAACAAGGACAGATGTCATTTCGTTAAAACAAAGACAGATATAGAGAAAACAATGTTAACATTATCGACATCGAGGAAGATCGGCTGACACTCCAGCATCCCCTTAAATGGCACACTGGTGCGAATGCGCATCAGAGACTTTTTCGACTCTTTGAATGGAGGGGAACATCGACAACAAAGTATTTATTCCTACTACCTGAAATATGTTTAAGAAAAAACCTTGTTTTCACTCTATAACCAATCGATTTCTCCCAGATTGATTATGGCTACGGTCAACGTGAAGCTACAAATGCTTCGAAGCATTCCTCTTCTCTTTTCTTTCAATGAAGAAAGAAAGAGAAGAAGAACGCTCCAAAACATTTGTAACGTCACGTTGACCGTAGCTTATAATGAAAATTTCATCTTAGAAAATAAGTATTGAAGTTTAAAATCCGTTTATTCCAACCGCTGCGCGCTGATTCAAACAAGCGCGCGGAATCCCAATTCGCACCAGTGTGCAATTTGAAGGTGCACAACTGAAGTGTGTCAGGGGTTAAATTAAATTAGATTCCAGAACATTATATATGTATATAAAAAGTTGTATAAAGATTTATTTTTGAAAGAAGTAGATTATATAATATTTATACTGCAAAAATGTTAATTCGAAAACAGATCAAGTTCTAGTAGTAGCAGAAGATTTCTAGTAGTAGGAAGATTTCTTCCACCATATTGAAAAAAGAGGGACAATATGCAAACAATTATTAGTAGTAACATCGAAACATTTTTCGTACTTGGAATCTAAATCGAAGAAACTCCAATCTCTTATAAATTTTCCAAATATTAAAAATATTTTTTTAAATATAATATACCTACATCCTTGCCATCGTCATCCATGCCAGTAGAGTACCTTTTTTAATTTAGCACAGCAAATAAGTGTACCCCGTAGAACTCGCTTATCAGACAAAACATTCGAGAAACTTTTATTTTTGAGAAATAAAAACATAAAATACTATTTTAATATCCCCTTTAAAATCTGCTTAATTTTTTTTTATAAATTTTTATAAATAGTCTCACAAAATTATCTAAAAAATTATCTAAATAAATCGCGATAATCATCTTTTATCTAGATTAATTAAAAACAAAACCATCTTCATCTCATCTAAGATAAATTTACGGATTTTCATCTTATCTTCATTTTACATAATTTTGAACTCATCTAAGGCAAACACTGCTCGTAAATGCCTTGCTCGAGAAACGCGACATGGACAGCCAGAACAAATAAATTTCGATCTATTGTTCCCTGTATGGCGAGAAAAGTCGCGTCGCGTCGCATCATAGCGAGTCGGCGGCTATGCGGTATACCCGAAGCTAAATTGAATTTTTTTTCAATTTATTCCACTTCGCGCGTGGCCGAGACGCCGGTGTAGTCAATGGGTAGTCTGTGCGCGACAGCCTCACCTATTCGCGTTAGATTCTCATTATTTTTAAATTGGAAATGAGAAGTGTGCGCGAGAGTGCGGTCGAGAGCACCTTCCGCCGACGCCGGGTCGCGTCGCGTCGCGTCGTGTCGCAACGCGTCGCGCCGGTGCATTATTCCACGCCGATGGGCGATGCCTATACCCGGCGAAGGTGGAGACGCAGAAATTAATTTAATTACGGGCCGGGTGTCAATAGCAGTCACCGTTCCTTTCGGTTAAAGAGCGAGGGGCAAAAAGGACGAGCTTTCTCCAAGAGCTTTGACTTACGAGGTTTTTCCTTAATTCATGGGAAGAGGATCGTCGCGCGGTACGATCTTTTAATTCATTTGCCATGCTAAACATCTCGATTGCTAAGCTAGAAATAAAAGTTTCTTTAAGAAAATATACGAGGAAATTAATCGGAAGATTATCTGCTTGTAGCATTGAAACTCGATGCGTAAAAAATTATTTAATTTAATTTACAAAACTAATTGTAAATAGTTTTATAATCAGAATTTGTGTTTAGGATAATGAAAAATCGACTCTAATTATACCGAAAAAATATTAGTTAACACTAGAGCTGACAATGATTAATTTCTAGTATTTAAGTATAAACTATCTATATATATATGTATATATATAGTGTCTAAATGTATATATATATATATATATATATATATACATATAGATATACATTTGGAAAAAAGGGGTAAGAGGGGAAAATAAATTGATCAACTTAATCATTTATATATATTGTAACAGGAAAACAAGAAACGGAAAATCTCAGACAATGCACCGTTATAAATTTAAGTAATTTAAGAAACCAATGATTTTATAGCTGCTTTGATAGTTTTTAAACAAAACATAATACCATAACGAATGGCATGCAAATATTAAGTGCGAAAGTCTTGTTTGGCAATCACGTGCTTTTAAGATAAAAAGCAATCAAAACAAAATTAATTATATTTGATATACAAAGTGGCATTACATTGAATATAGAGAAAACGTTGTTTTTGAACTTCGAGTTAAACTCATTTATTAAATTGGAGCCAAGATACAGTCTGTAGCCGAGGCAGTACTCTTACAATTATAAGATGATACCTATATTGTCTATCTGTTAAAATAAAAATTCTACTAGATTATTAATAGTTAATAGTATAAATCGAGAGCATTAAATATTTTGTCGCGCTTAAAGATAGACTTCTTTCGTTTATAATATTGAATTTAGTAGCGCACTACTTGCACAAATAAAAAATTATTTGCAATAATATCAAAGATTTTTTAAAGAAGACAAGATATCATAATTCTAAAAAAGAGAGAGATAGATAGATGGATAGATAGATAGATAGATAGATAGATAGAGAGAGAGAGAGAGAGAGAGAGGAGAGAGAGAGAGAGAGAGAGAGAGAGAGAAGAACATGATACATCTATTAACAAAATCGATCTCGAACGAGCTACATGAAAGAAATCTCTCCCCTTTTCTTTATTCGTCTCTAATTAATAATTTAAAAAATTATACGTTATACGTTATACAAAATTTAGTTAAGTACATAGTAAAAAGGTATCTGTTATATCTCTATTTGCAGATCACTAAAAGGATTTTAAGATGTGTATGTTCCGTTTATCTCTGTCCAGCCCAACGAGAATCTCTCTAACATTGTAGATCATGTTTGAAATTAATTAATATCGTATGTATATGTGAGCTATATATTTATCTGTAATTTAGACATATCTGTACATTCTACGATTCTATAATTGTTGTACGCTATCATTTATACAATATATTATTAATCAGATATAATAACAAAAACAATATAGAAAACAGAATCCTCCTATTTTAATAAGAAACTTGATTTAATTAGAATAAATATGGGCTAGAAAGAGAGAGTTAGAAATTTGCTTTATAAACAGCATTTGCTGGGTTTTACGACTATAGTACATAAAAAGATATAAGCGGTAGAACTAAAGCGGTAAGCAAATCGATTAATTACAGTCGAGTGTTTCCGATCTCATATCGAGGCTTTTTTTATGTACTATGGCCTGTAAAGTAGTAAAACTGTTATCAGAAATTTCCTTGAGATATGTTTGCATTCTTTGATAAATAATGAGAAACTATCGACGAATATATTAGTCTTTGTGCAACGAATGTTAGAATATATTACTGCAACATTTAAATAATAATGTAATATGCCTGTTCTCTGTAACTAGCTCACATTAAATCTATCTATTCTATTATTATAACGGTAAAACGAGCCTTCACTCTGAAAGAACACCTCTTCCCTCTAATTTGTATATCGGCATTCGTAATTCGAACATTAACAAATCTCTCCGCTGCTTAGGATACTTTATACTTTATTTTGAATGTATCTTATCTACCATTGAACTGCTTACATACTGAGTGTCGGGTATTTCGAGGAATAATAATTCTAGATAGTTAGATAGTGGAACGTTTGTCAGAGTTAGCAGCTTAGGTAAAACGGGATCGGAGCTCAGAGTCAACGCTAATCTGCGCACTCTCACGAACGTATTACAAATTCAGCATCAGTATGGATTCTCAAACTACGGTTCGCACGCTACAATTCGCTCGACGAACGAGCTCGCGCTCTTTTTGTACTAGTAATCGATAGTGAAGACATCCCGTGACAAGAGTGTGTAATGGGACAACGAATTTATATACGTGTATATTGTCCAAGGGAAATTATACCATGAGCTCGAATCAATTCGAAAAATGCATTCTAAGTAATCTTCTGCGGGCACATTATTAAGTATACGAGTGATTAGTACCATAAACATCAACTATACAGTTATTGCTATGGAAGCAGTACGACGATTCAGAGCCTCGATAAATTCAACGAACTTATCACATACATATATATATATATATAAACATAACATATACATATGACCAAATATATATGTATATATACATATACCTTTTTGTAGGCCGGTTCTACAATCAGTCGTATGTCGGAGTCGGATGTCGGAACGTAGCTGATGGTCCAATGAGGAAAATTCGTTTTCGAAAAAGAAAATTCTCTCATTGGACCATCGGCTGCGTCCCGAAATCCGACTACGACTACGACGTACGACTGATTGTAGAACCGGCCGTATATACATATATATATTATATAAATCTATATATATATATATATATATATATATATATATCTGGTTACTTGTATATGTATATTTTATATTTTATATATTGTCTTTAATTAATCTAAACTATGTGTAGTGCTAAAATTACAATAGTTTTACTACAACTCATGTCACGTCGGTTAGATGTGTCGTAAATCCAGTTGAACTTATCGTCGGCATCGAAACAGCGTAACTCATAATACATTGTTATATAAACAGCTTTATAACGCGAAATCTGTCCTACTTATATTCATCTTTTTTATATATACATAGCACGTCTAGCGATAACTACAATCGATAACAACTAATACATTCTTATCAGCGTGGCGAGTATAGCAGCTTTTGCGGCCTGCGCAACACCCGCCATTCTGGATAAAATATATTTCATTGCATTCAACTTTTATCCAATTTACTCTTTCTCACCGAGTAATTAACTACATTTTATTGTCAATGCATTCGGAATGGTGTCGCTGTGCCGTCTTGCCTACGTTCATAACTTTCGTAAAATATCCACAAAAATCATTTCTGTCGAGCCTAACAAATTTCTCATTTGCACTCGTGTAACTTGATAGACTTACGAATCTTAAGAATCGCATTCGTTTTATCCCTTAATGCAGTATTTACGAAAGTGTCTGCGATCGTGTAACGATAAATACTTAAATACAAGTCAGCTTACAATGTACACGATTATAAAATTTACATTCGCGGAATAAGAATTATTAGTCAATAACAACTCTTCTCTATAATGACTGTTTTACTAGAAGTTTTCAATGGCATTGTTAATATATGAGTTGCCATGTATATTTTGTTCCAATATAATATATATTTTCTCTCTTACATAACACATAATATTAATCTAATATAGGAGAACTCATGTTTTATATATAAGTACTAGTTTAGTCGATTTATAACTAATGCGATTCTTATCGTTTCACTCGATTCCATCTATTCGGAAGTGCTTAAACTCTGCAACAATGTGACGTTCGTAAATACTTATTGGCAATTCTTTGCTGAGAAGCAAACAAGGCAAGGCGCCATTAAACACGTTCACAGGACGTCCGAATGAATTAACGAGTGCCACCGGTTAAAAGGCGAATTATTACATAATTGCTTATATTGACTCGCGTATATTTCTGTCGCATCTTTGCGTATAAGTACTTTATATTTTAAATAATTATACATACATGTCACATCCGCGCAAATGCATCGCGGCATTTGGCCGCGGCCTCTCCGACATCCCTCTTTTATTCATCCATACGCAAAAATTTACACAATTGAGAGATCGTCGCCATACTACTCCGCTTTGAAATATATGTTGTTGTTGTTTTTCGCTATATATGTTTATCTCGTTTACAGCATGTGCGTGTGTACCATGTGCATCGCACAGGTGATCGCATGTACATGTATCCATTTTATCTCTCTCCCTTCGTGTAGATGTTTCCCATATGTGCGTTTTTGTGAGGATCGTAGTATAGCTAGCTTTTAATTTCTTAATACAATAAAACTCATAGACGAAACACGAACGCTAAATAAATAACTAAAGAAACGTGCGTCATCCCATCGGACTCGGATCGAATGGCTTTCTCATAGCTGGTACCATTTCTTGTCTTTGTACTTGAGCATCAGTCCGTGAGCGCTCGTCGCAAAGTTCTCGGCCTCCGACGCCATGCGCGCAGACCGATCTTCGAGCTGCGACAACTTCTCGCCGCGCTCCACGACCATCTGGTGTGCCATATTTACTTCGCCCGTTGCGCAAGAGACCCGTTCTCGCATAGCTTCGTTTGGTCCTGGAATATGTTTTGCCACTGTGCGCGACGCACGACCGCTAGATTCACCGACTGCAATCAGTATCGGTATAAGCGTTAGCTTGCTCCGAATTACTCATTTCTTCATTTTCAATTTGTTCGTTGTAAAAAGTAAAAAAAGTCTACTTACACAACTCTTCTCGATCGACACTCCTCGAGCCACCACCGAATAAACCTTTGAAGAAACTCTCTTTGGGCGGTTCTGGCATATCGTGGCCAATAAACAGATCACCCATCATCTCCGTCAATTCGCCGCTAATCAAATAGAAATATAGCTGATGTATAGTCATACTTAACGGTAGATAGAATGCGTCAATATGTGAATCCAATACATAAAACTAAACTTATTTTATTGAACTAAAAATAAAATTGATGCACGTAAAACAATACCAGAATTCACTCGAAACGGAGAACTTCTGTATTTCCATCGGTGACGATAAGTATAAACCGTGGCCTCGATTGCTGAAGCAAAGCGTCTTTGCGATCCTGCAAAAAATATGCACAAGGCAGTTTTACTGCGATGCGTTGTTTCATAGGGTATATAATAGATTGCATATAAAATGACAATATCGGGGTACAACTGTAAAAGAGTGTCCAGTGTGCGGTTTTATATTACATGGCATAAAGCTTTGGTAAGTGGTAAAAATCAGAGGTTGATAGTTATAGAGGTTTTAACAGTTATAGAGGTGGCGCGAGAAACGCTTTCCTATGTGAAACATTATGAAGCTGGAAACAAAAATTGTGAAATCGAAAAGAGATAGTACATTGCACGCAAGGCACTTGTGTTGTGTTGTGTCAAGGTTTTTTTACGTGTGGTTAGCTGTACTTCATAGATGACTTACTGATCGGTATCGCCATTAACAAAGAGTTGATGACCCCATATGGTCAACATGGGGTCTACAATGCCGTGTTTTGTGGTCTGAAAACTGTTAGAGATTACAGAGACAGGAGGAAAGTGAGCGTACGACCGTACACGGGTCAATATAAGATTTACGTTATCAATGTTATCATTAATTAGCATTAACCCTTAAAACAGCCAGCCCAGTTATTTTCAAAAAGACTCTCTCTACATGTTCGCACGATATATCTTATTCTCTGTATATGTATAAAAATTTGTAATATGAAACAGACGATAATGGTAAATGTTGCCTGAAAGTTCGTAGTGTAAGTTTTTGCGTAGATTCTGCTAAGTAAGAAATCGTAGACATGATACATGACAGAGATAGAGAAATTTCAAAATAAAAGTCATAGAATTTGCAGATGAAGAATTGCCATAGACAGTTTTATATCGCGTGGTTGTGAAACATTGTGCGAAAGAGCGTAATCATAACCGACTCAAAGTATTTCCAATTTTAATTTTAAACAAGCAGATCCGCATTTTCATTCGTTTCACAACGCTGCATTCTCTGAAAATCTAGAGTATATGCTCTGAGATAAAGAGTGCAATAGAAGTGCTCGTAAAAAATGCTACAAATGACGCATGCTCTAATTGTGTTAAGGGTTAACGAGTGCGCTTATTGCAGAGAAGTCACATGCTAATATTATCGCGCGCGCGCGCGCGCGTTAATGGTTATTAATACACTTCTGAATAAATATTCATATAAGTATAGAGCAATATATATTAGTATGTATATAGATATATAAGTTATCGTCAACTCTCTTCATACTTTTTTATAGGCGATATTTCGTAAATAGCAAGTTATTAACATCGATAAAAAGATAAGCTGCTACGGATTTATGTAGCTCCTAGACATTCGTAATTCCTACTTAATATAGAAAGAAATATCCAGAAGTGTGCTATATTATCCATTTCTAAATACGTCTACACTCAATTTATTTATATAAATTTATGTTTCTAAAATATGTGTAATCATACATAGCTGAATCTTTATATCGCACAGAATGTTTAATAATTGCATACTTCTGGAGAATGCTATACACATATATAAATATAGGCGTAGTATTATTATAAATAGAATTTGATAGAAAATTGATAAATCGAAATACTCTTAAGAATAAGTACCTGATGGCTATAATATCGTTTCAGTAACGCATATACCTCTGGCTTTGGTACTTTATCTAGATCTACTCGATGATGCTAGCTAGTAGGCGAAGTTCAAATTTGCGTTTATTATTGTTCTACTGCGAATAAATATAAAGTTTAAATAATAAGAATAAGCAAAATTTCAATAGGATTAACTTATTTCATGCGCCGTAATAATGAAATATTCCAAATAAACTTGTAATATAACCAACTATACAAATGCAGAAGATAAATTTTGCTACGAAAGCTTTAATGATATCAATTTAAAATTGTCTTAATGCAGCAGATAAGCCTCCTCTTATAAACGATAAATAATTCGTCGCTGTTGTTTAATTTAACAAAGAATTTCTGGCCTTTCCTTTACCTTTTGAAAACTAGCTCCTATTTTCTGTTTTCTAATAAGAATCAATATAATTACGTATAAAATACCATATTTAAAACTTATGATTTAATATAATATCAGCCGTCTTCCAACCTAATTGTAAAGCGTTAGAACCTCTTCTGTAAAGCGTTAGAACTGTAAAGCTTCATTGGCAATGATACTTTTACACAAAAAATATATATACAAAAATATATATTTTTCTGATTTTCTTAGTGTGAGATTAATGATAGAAACAATTTCTATGCAAATTTAGGTACCTATCCCTTAAAAAGCTAATTTCACTAATTTCAAATATATTTGTGGAAATATATCCAGTTATTACAAATATTAACATTACTAGCATGACATCGCTAATTTATGACTGCATCATAAATAGATATGCAGTGAATATTATTTTAATCTACATATAACATTTTTATACCATTCTTAACTATGTAGTATGTGATTTTCAATATTTTTATAAATATGTATATTATATTAAAAATAAAAAATGTAGAAGTTTTTGCGATATTACAATAGCATATAGTGCAACGCATCATGTGCAAATATTGCCACTATCATATTGCCTTGATAGCTAAAATAAAAGAATTAGGACAGATTAGAGTTACTTTTCTTACCTCAAATCTATAAGAGGTAGAAAATCAACGTCTATCAACGGTCTCAGGCTGGGTAAACTGTACGTTGTGATGTGACCATTCGAAACGTAACATACTAGGCAGACGTTATCTAGACAGAAATGTTTCGTGAGGATGAGATATTGTAAAAGAATTGCACATTTTTAAATAATCACATGACAAATAATAAGCCGGCATGACAATTATATCTTTATTTGCGTTGCGCCTAAAAAAAAAAAAAAAAACATGGACTATACCTTTCAATGTTGTAACTTCTGCCTTAATTACGATATGAGTCTCTGCCAGTTGTTGCCTATATACACAATTTTGGGAGGGTAACGCCACAACTCTCGCTTGCTTCTCTGACACAAGTGCGACAAATTGTCTGTCCTCGAAATTGTCCCCACCGATTTGCGTGTTCGTCGACGGTGACATGCGGCTATTTGTACATTTTCCTTGACTCTCTTTAACAAAAATCCATCGTTAATGGGACATACATATAAAAAAAACCTTCAAAACAAACATAAAAATCACGGAATATATACAAAATCTAAAATCGCAATCTCTATACTCGCGGATATTAGTAAGTATAGGAAGTAAAGCCTACTATTCCGTTCTTTGCCATCCGTGCTCTCGTCTTTCCAGGACTCGTACGAATACGGGATCAGAGCGCCGTTGCAATCTAAGAATGACATCGATAGGATACAACCCTTGAGTTTGAAAGTAGATCCATCTGCACATAGGAAACACGCGTTAAACCGTATTACGTGCTACGAATAATATAAAACAAGAAAAAACAGCCACAAAAGTAATATTTAAAATTGGCTAAATACTAAATATTTAAAAAAATCTGCTTACTACAGGTAGACACAACCACTGGGTGAGCATGACGTTCGCTGTGGGCAGGCGTATTGAATATAACAGTCTGTACAGATCCCAGAGACGTGCCAATCCATAACGTCGGCATGCCGCTTGTATCTTAAAAAAATAATGAAATTATCATAAATAATCCACCGCATAACGCGTTGTCCAATACGTCTGATACAACGTCTATAATTAATATGTTTTGTACTCATACAATTTTGACTTTTTTTTAATTCTTGATATTTATTTTAAACAAGACCTTGTTTACAAAAACAAAAGAATCAGTAATAATTATTTGCATGATCAGACTAGTGTACATTAATAAAAAGATGCATAACGCGGATATGCGTGAAACAATTTACGAGCGATTTACGATTTTTTAAAGCAAAGTTTACGCTGATCTACGTACCGTTTTTTTTCGTATAAGAATCCGCAAATGTAAGGCAGCTTATGGTTTCTGTGGTGATGTTTTCGAGGGATGACATACTCGAACTCCTTGATCGTTGGAAGGAACCGTCGAATTTGTCTATCCGACCAGCGGTCCCAAAAAAAATACTCGATTATTTATAGAATAAGGCGCGCCACTTCTTTCCGGGCTACTAAGAAGCATGCACAATGACTATCGAAATTATATTTTTCGACACGTTTACATCGTCTTTACGTAGTGTATACCGCAAAGTGTAAACTAGTGAAGTCAGAACACTTATCAGAGACAGCGCAGCTTCAAGAGGACAGTAATAATAATGATCGTGACAATGAAAATGCTGATTATGGCAACGACGATGACAATGACAATAATAATAATAATAATAACAGCGACAGCAACAACAATTATCACGATCAAGATCTCTCGACCGCAGTTCACGTATTAATTATCCTTCATACACTTTAGACTCATCAGGAATATCAAGTCAATTATACAAAAATTTACACAGATGCATACAACGACGCACGCCACATTCACACATACGCACACACGAACGCATAGTATCACGTCCAATTAGCGCAGAATTAGAGATTTATCGTTCACAGACTAAGTCTTGAATAAGTAAGCTAGGTAGTAGACGAGTGACACGAGAAGAAGAATCACTCTTGCATGCACGCGTAAGATATCCGGCCGATCACCGGATTGTGTGGTGATGAAAGTGTCGTCGACATCGATCAAGTTCTCCGTAATGTAAATATAAACTGAACCAAATCAATACATCTTGTAGCCGATGCAATTTTTTGAAGACGAGATTCGTGAAAAATACTTTAAGATACTTTATATAAATAATTCTGTAAAATAAACGAACGTATGTTATGCAGGTAACATATCATGTATTCGAATATAATTCAATACAGTACGTTACCTAATGTCACATACGAGTTGGTTCTTGAATTGAATCCACACATAATTGTCTTACTGCACATATATAATGGATATATAGCCGTATTGTTGGAAATAATTGTCTCTATCCATTCAACAATTGTAAATTAAATTAAAATATTTTAAATAAAACATTTGTTTGTAAAATACTGCGACAAAACACGATACGAAAAAGGTGAGATTATTTTTCTAACGGAAAACTTAGATCTGAGATTCTGCCGATGGCAAATATGGTTCTTAGAAAATAAATTAACACGTAGCGCGATATCGGTGGTGTCAGAGTCAGGTTTTAGAGGAGTTGCATGAGAATATCAGTCCTAGTTTTCGTGTAATAACACGATAGAAGATAACATTAATATGCGAAAGGATCGTTTCACAAATGCGGACAGAACGATAAGCTTTATGACAAAAACATGTATTGTTCGAGACGAGAAGATGTTAACCGGTGATACTCGGTCCCTCCGACATGTTTGCACATTCACCGTGCACAGTCCATCCTATTTATCATTATATTCACATTAGGTGCATCTTAGATTGTGCATCGAGCTGAGAGAAGTAATTATCTGAGAGATGCAACGTTATAGACCACATCTATGAAAGAAGCAGAAATCAAAAGTTTGCCAAATAGGCGAAAAGAGCAGGAAAGAGTATCTCTTTTCGAGGGTGCAGTGTGACAACTAGAAATCACGCAGTCTAGACGGTGTGCCATTTCGTGTTTATTTAGAAAAGGTTCCACTAAAGAGCATATACAAGTCAGAAAGAAAGAGATGCATCGTAGTGAGAACTACCGAAGTCACTTTCACACTCAGATCAGGTAAAGACCAGACAGTATCTATTGAGTCTAGACAATAGAAAAACGTATGTCGTGCTGGAAGAATCTCGGGAACAACGTTGCTTTTACGTGCAACAAATCAACTTTATAACAAATCACAAAGAAAAAAATACAAGTTATTAAAAAATGACTAGTTCAAGTCAGTCTCGAAATTGATCCGAAGTTTATTTCCCAATGAAAAGGAGAAATAAAAATATCGTAGAAATAGATACACGAAACGATGTTAAAGAATTAAGGGCCACTTCGACCAAGCTCTGATTAACTTAATCGATAATTAGTCCATCGGGAATGACCAATCGCATTTGCCAATCTGCTTAATGAGAAAATGTGATTGGTCATTTCCAATGGACTAATCAACGATTAAGTTAATCGGAGTTTAGTCGAAATGGCCCTAAGTAACATAGAAGAATGAATATACATGACATTACTAACGTGAGAGAAAAAAGATTAAATAACAAAGTTAAATTATTAAATTTTTCAAATTAGACGTATAATCTAATATGCAGCAACTTTGCGCAAGAGATCCGCACTCTCCGAGCTTGAAAAAAATTCGATCCGAAAAGAATCGCTCTATAGTCACAATGAAATCAAACTAAAGATCAAGCGATCAGAGAGAGAAATAGTTTTCCCATTCGGTGTCACAGAAAGAACAATATATATCGGTAGTCTACATAGTGGTTAGTCCATAGATAAATACAGTTACAGTGGCCTGTATCGGTAATACTACCAAAGCTGCTATACTGTCTGGTGTTGGTGAGGATATTCTGGTAGTTCAAAGACGCTTGAGGGACGGCTGAGGGGTAGCTTCTCATCTCCGTGCTACGCTGAGCGTAGAATAGCGAAACTGTCGGAAAAGCGGCGGCAGCACCCGTGGCGGAGTCCACTTCGAAGTGGGTGGTAGCGGTGCTCAGACACTTCTGGAGCTTCCTTATGCCCTGGGTGCGCGGGTGACGTTGATCTAACGTGACACCCTTGCGCGACACCGTATTAATTTCCTCGTCGGTGCCGCTAATCGCGCCGGCGGCGGCATTACGGATACCCGAGCGAGTTACATTAACACCAGCACTAGGGCCTCCACCACCGTCATTATTGTTAGCGCCGTTGGTGCCGCTGCCACCGGTGCTACAACCATCACTATTATCACCATTGTCACCTCTCTCACCTCTCTCACCACCAACACCCACTGTACTTCTTCCTGTCACCGGCAATACGCACATCCCGTTCATCTACAAATCAGGCGACAAGTCAAACGTGAAGGAAACATACGACACGGTCATTGCTTTTGTTTATAAAGCAAATTTGTGTGTGGACTGAACTCTTTGGGATATGAAAATGTAATAAACGCGCGGGTTTTCTATCAAGCTTTCATCAAAACGCAAGTAACAAAAGCACGTGGAAAATAAATTTTCATATTCGTTTTTAATTTTCGCTTGCCAGATTGTTGTATCACACGGGCAATTATTTGCACATTATTTTATTATTTATATTTACTTTTTATAAAACGTATAGAATTATATAGAAATATATATACACGTCAAACAAGATACAAAAATACTTTTTATCATAATATTGATTAACTAAGAATGTAAATGGAACTGAAACGATCATACAAGCTTAATAGAAATATTGAAAATATTAAATACTAAATAATATCAAACGAAACAGTGTAGAAATGTATTTTATCTGTAACGGTATCATGTTTAAGAATATTTAAGCAAATTTATTTAAATATTACAATTAATATCGGTATAGAACGTGCTAAAACGTAAATCGTCTAAACGTTTTCATAAATTTAAATATATAAATTTGAATTCCCACCCTAAAATCGAAGAGAATCAAGCTATAAATAATGAATAATGTGTCAATAAAACTAAACCAATAAGCTGAGAATCGCTGGCGGGAGAAATGTTGATCGACAATGCGATTACTCTTTCTCCCTTGTTTGCCTCAACTATTAAATGATGCATATACGCGACAACGTTTTAATAAAGAAATCTCATTTGCCTACTCGTTGAAAGGTTCTTATGTACATACATCGTTCGCGATAACATATCGAAAAACGCTCTTCTCACGTTGTTTCGATAGCAATGACACAAAAACGTATCTTCATCTCAAGCAGATGCTGCGTGACACTATTTGGGAAGCGATATAACTCGTCAGAGCCATGATGAAAGTGGACATTTGTGCGTATGACACAATCGCAGCACATCGTTTCATTAGACAGGAAAATCAAAAAATCGACACTTCTCTCTTCCACCTCTCTGCGACTCTGCGTTCCGTCATGCGGAAATGAACGACAGAGATCCCTCGATAAAGACCGAACCAAAAACACTTCCGTTCAGCTCGATTGGATTTTGTCTCGACTATCCGAGACTTGTGTCGAGCAAGCTCGATATAATAGTTCATTGTTGCTGTCTGCACTGGGGCTGACATCACGGAAGATGTTGGCGAGAGGAAAATGTAACGATAAACAACCTGCTCGTGTTGTACACCTCGTGCTTGGTTGCTCGCTATGTGGAATATATATCAGCATATTATGCAGAGTCCTCTATAGCAGTCAGTCAATGTCGAGATACAAATTTGAAATAAAAATTTGAATACACTCGCAAAAGCGTCCTGTCAAGAGCGTCTTATAACACGCGTCTTAATATAATTTAATAAAAGATAAAGATGACCTCTTGTGTCCCGTTGTCATTGATGATGCGACGACCATCAGTGTTATTATTATTATTACTATTGCTATTTGCGTGCAAACCATCGAAAAAATTTCCAAAAGCTTTGAAAGCAATGTTGTACCGAGAGAAAGGTGTCTGGATAATATAAGAAGTTGGAAAATAAGAAGAGAGAGAGAAATCAATAGTGATTCTACATGTAGATTTGAAGGCAAGTGGATGTATACGCTCGATGTTAATAGTTCACGAATAGAATCCGATCTCTGGATTATACCATGACCGAGCTATAGGACGACAAGAACTCTCTGCCTATTAATTTGTAATGTGTATTCGTAACATCTTGACGATCTTGACTGAGATCTCGGTACTCAAGGAGTGTACTTTTCTCTCGGTGATAAGAACAACTGCCAAAAATATGAAAAACCTTGTTTTTACCTGAATCGACCTTGCTGTCGGGGAAGACCGCAAAATTGATTTGAACCTGAAAAAGTGTTAAAGTAGAATCTCTTCAAATTCGTATTTGCAGTGTAATATTGTGAATGGGGGACTTGGCGCCGGTACGGACAGGTTCGCGTTATCTCCTGTTGATATTTCCGCGAGAGCGAGAGGGGGGGGAGAGGGGTCTTTCCCACATTTTGCGAGCATATAAGAACAATGTTTACAAGTAGCCATAAAACTTGGAATGGAGTTGACACAAATGGATACCAAGACCAAATGGGAGGCGATGCACTTTCAAAATATCTACTATGCATTCCAGGTACTGGTAACCTAGGGGGTGGGAATACTAGAAATCTTAAGTGATACGGTTTTTTTTCCGACCTATTGACCTATTGACCTATCGACCAGAGCGGTTGCAAACTAAGAGTGATTCGGCAGGATAATAGCTTTAAGAAAAGGCAGTCGATGCAGTTTAGTGAAGCGTTGACATCCTTTAAAATGTATTCTTCTGAAAATAGTATATCAGAGACATATATTTTTACGGATATAAATTCAACGTACAATAACGTAGACCTGTGTTTGCGCCCGAAAAACTTTTGCCCGCGTATCTTACAATTAGGCGTAATTTACCACAGCCTGTCCCAATAAATTCATAGCTCTGCCTTCACAGTTAGACCAACAAAACTTGCAATATTATGCTGAATTGTGACACTGACTTTGTTATTTAAACGATAGACCGTGAACACTTTATAGTTTAGAGTGTAATCTGGCACCCTCTGATCCAAATCAGGAATGCATTTTAAAGAATTATCATTTTCAACATAAATCGCGCGTATTGTATTGTCCTCTAGCGGGGAAATTGTCTGCACTCTTCTATAAATTATCAGGCCTTTTCTTCACAATCGAAGAAACGTCGACACACTTCGGACGTGCCTAATCGTAATGTATCGATGAACTTATTGACTGACCATTATATTAGACTCTACATTTTGCGTGACCAGATTTCACATCAGTCTCTTATTCCACATAACTATAAAATATTTGCGTTACAGGAAATATCTAACAATTTCATTTCATGTTTTAATCTCACGATCGATGATATCTACGATATATTTCTGCTATCAAGTTCTTGCAAATACCTTGTTTTAAAGAGCTACAGTCGTGAATTATCATCCTTTCGTTCTATCGATATTTAATATTAAAAAATAAATACTCACGGAAATCAAATTTAAATAAATATATAAATAAATTGATGTGCATATGATAATTTTGTATAAGTCATCATTTTCACATTGCACATGTTGAAATATATGAAACACATGCTTTTCAAATACACGATAAATATAAAATAAATTGCTAATCATTTTCTCTCGTTTAATGACGTATAGGAATCAATCAAAATCATGTATCAACAGTATTTCAATTGCATTATAATTGCGTTGCTATCTCATCAATATGCACTGCATTAGACATGCAATAAATAAAAAATACTAATAACGGATAACTATGGAAATTTGCGAGCTATTTTACTCAATTTTAGGTATATGCGAGCATATTATTAGATTTATATAGAGTCCAAAAAGTTCTAAAAGTTCTTGCCATTAATATTTAATATTTATTTGTGTTTAAAACCAAAACTAATCTATCGTTTATAAAGTTTAGAGATGTCAACAATTATTGCAAGGATTTTCTTGCAAAAGTACATATATATTAGAAGCTCATTGTCACCTGTGTATTGACTGATTCATCTAAACATTAACTGTTTCGCATAAACCTTTGTGATGATAGCATGTTATAATGAAAACCAATATTGGGCAATGCAAAATAATTTCATGTTTTTCACAAAATTGCAAAAAAAAATATTTATTCTATATAATTAATGATCAAATTGGAAAATCTCTCCATTTAATATTCCAACAATATAAAACTCGATAATAATAACAACAAATCCTTGAGTTAAATTTTGAGAAAAAGAAAACGATAATATAATATAATAGAATAAATTTACTCTGTTTGCTTTGATTGAATTAATATCGAGTGAAGTTTCAATACGCGAAATTATACATCAGTACTCGAATTGATTAATTTTGAAATCACTCATTAATTTATTGCGATAAAATTTACCCAATTTTGGCGGAGATGCAGTTAGTGTGAGTTGTGTTAACGTTTCCTCTGGAAATAATTTTGAACGCATCTAAGAGCATCCTAGGCTTTGTGTTAAAAAAAAAGAGGCAGAAGCACGTCCAGGGCCAGCCGAGCTCTCTCTATGGTTAGTCTACACCCACCACATGTTCTCAGTCACAGATACAAATGCAATTTTATTGTTAATCGCACGCTTCCCGATCGAGGAAGGCTTCGATTGTTAGTAAGATTAATTACACGCACACATTCACATTTAACGTGAAAAATCTAACGAAGTAATATATCTCTAAGGACACACGGACGACACATAACGCTCTTCTACGTTAAATGTATAAACACTTACTGAATCTTCTTATAAGATTGCCGGTGAATGATTCGGAGGTAGCTCTCTCGGAAGTACTCTCCTCGCATCTTAGGTCACAAACGGTCGGCTCGTTCTTGGAAAATTTTAGATTCGGCACCGAGAGCAAACGACCCTCTCTCTTCGCCTGTTTGATCTTGGCGATATATTTCAATCTCGACGGTTTTAGCTCGTGTTCGGGCAAAGACAGATTCATCGGTCTTACTGCCTCGGTTTTTATGCCGATATTGTCATTGTTCATTATCGTTTTCTCGTTCTCAGTCTCCGTTGGGCTTCTAGCCTCTTGGATGTCTTGCTTCCTGTCATCAGTCTGAGGACTCTCGTGTCCAGGAGACTGGCTCTCCGGCGACAGCGAGGAGTCAGAGTCAACGCTTTCGACCGGCGATAGTGAACGACTCGTGCTGGCCGCTTCGTTGATATTGCAGTAAAACGTGGAAGACTTTTGACTACCAGTATCGCCGCCTATCTGCTGGCATTGGGGTACTTGCATGAGCCCCGATGACGAGCTCTTTCGGAAACATAAATATGTACATTGTAAAACGATATTAAATTTATATAAAAAAGCAGGAATATAATTTTACTAAGAAAAAAAAAGCAATTTCCGACATAAGCGCTCAAGATTAATTTTTTTACACAAGTTTTTTTTATAATTAAGTGTGATTCCATGATGTAATATAAGATTAAATATCTTTTTCATAAACTTTTAAGTCAAACAGGAAAAAAACATTGCCTTTACGCTGATCTATTATACTTATAAGAATAAGAATATAAACAATGCAGAGATATGAGAATGCAATGGCTGAATCGTAAGCTAGCGCTAAAAACGTTGTAAGATATTTCGCGTAGGCCACATAGTAACAATAGAATGTAGAAACAATAGAAATACGTAAAATTATTGACGGCATAAAGAACGATAAGCACGTATTAAAAAAAACATACAAGTACCCCATTCTGAGAAGACACCGAGGATGGTGTAAAAGTATTTTTGATCTTCAGATCAACCTTGCTTAGTTGTCTCTTGAGACTAAATCCTTTCCAACCTTGGCTTTTCTGACACTCGTCACCGTTAGGAATGTTACCCGCTTTATTGGATTCGTTTGTGGTTTCCTCCACGCTCGGTTTATCGCTACTGTTTCCAGTCTGACTCTCATTGCGAGGGCACTGTTGCTGTTGCTGTACTTGTTGGATCGAATCCGCTACCCTTGTAACTACTGGCTCGAATTCCATCGCGGATTCTCGCTGGCTCTGATGGATTTAAGATGTTGGGCTTTGCACAATCAATCAGTTCGTAGGTAAAAAAAAATGGTATATACATTAGACCTAATTCTAAGAACGGACGGTTAAAAATGTCTTTATGCAATTTTTTCGCGTTCGTGTTCCGTAAGTGTCCACTAGTGGTGTAGACTAATCCCTTATTAATCGTGCTGTCGTACGATCTGCCGTGTCTGTGAAAAACGCGTGAAGTAGAAACATGCCTTCTAGATTCTAAGCATAATATCAAATAATTCAAAACTGAAAGCTATCGCAAACGTATGGTCACTTGTCACTTCCCAGGCTCGTGAAAAACTTGAACCGAAGAGTGCAGACAGGACAGTGATGAGATTCAGGGTTTTCTTTTTTTTTTGTGTGTATAAATCTGCCTGCTTATAAGATAGATGTCTGAAATGCCTAAGATGCTCGTAGAGACGTAGGCCTTCGATATTGCTAATCAATGAAATATCGTAATGTATCATTGTATAAATGAAGATTATGTCAAACTTACATCACGCTTTTTTAACGATTATTCGCAATGAATAAACTTTTGAGACACATGTAGAGTATTTCAGAATTATTGGCATTTCTTTGAATCGTTATCGAGCATTGAATTCCAATTTGGATAATAAACGATCAAAACCAATTGATTAAAGAGTGTTGTGAATACATATGTATATACGGATATTCAAAAATATCGCACATTGTTATTACGCCTGATATATGATTCATAAACGAAAAAAAAATACAGTTAATTGTGCTGGCATCTTCATGCATATATGAATTATTAATAGTCTTTGCTGAGGATGTCTGCAATTTTCTCGATAAGAGAACAATATGAAATAGCAAATATTGACTTTCGGTGAACATTACAAATCCCTGGAAAGGAAAATCCCTAATTTATGAAAAATATAATATGAAACCAGCTTATACGTAGTCAAATTAACATACACATTTCATATCTGTGTGCAAATTACAAATCTTATCTACATGTTCGTGTAAAACAAATAAAAAGAAAACCAACAAAATTATATATAATATATATAACCAACAAAATATTTTATATATACACATTATATATATATTTTTTTTTTGTTTGTTGTGTATATATATAACCAACAAAAAAAATATATATATATAATATATATATATATATATATACTAACATTTATATGTACTAAGCATGCAAGTACACAGATATAAATATTGCTGGAAGGTAACTGGATACTGGATCCATAAAATAGCTCTGCGAACAGTTGTACCATTTGTTCGATAATAATTCTCGCTCGATTTGCTTTAAACATACATGAAAAGTTAGAGATGATCTTAAACAATGTGCTATATAATGTATGCATTACATCAGTAAGATGACAGTACTAGGCGTTGATAAAAGTAGGAAAATGTTACATGTCTATTATTTATACATGTCAAATTATTTTATGGATGTAATTGGATAATGCAAGTATTTGTACGGTTTAACAAATTTACTTTCACAACTAATACGGGAATTAAAGTTAATTTTTTGCAATATTCACAAAATTTTAATCCACAATACGAAATATACAATGATTTAATTTGGTCCAGTATCAAAGTGTGAATATAACTTATTGCTAAAATTGTATTGTTATTTACTTATTAGCAATTAATTTAATTGTCGTATTGGAAATTATTACCTACAATATTAAGGGGGTTAAAGAGAATCAGAAATGTTAAGAATTGCGTAAAATTAAAAATAGGTATAAACTATTTTTGAATAATGTCAGCATCTGAATTTTTTTAGATTTCTTCAAATTTTCGTTATAAATCGATATCAAAACATGTATTTAATCGAAATTTACTTAAATAGGATAAGGAAAATTCAGCACAATATAGATAGATTTCTTTTATGTTACACCTCAAATATGTTGGCTTCAAGTGCTTTGCTGTATAAAATATATACATAGAAAATTACGCGACGTAAAAGTGATATTAAAAAATCTAGAATTTTGTCACAAATGTTCTCAAAAACTAACCGGTGAAAAAATGTAAAAAAATTCACATGCTGATATTATTTATAAAAGAGCTTATGTTTTAAATTTTGTGCAATTCTTAACATTTCTGATTCTCCTTACAACTTCCTTAAATGACGAAGCTTCTACTTTCAATATTCATTACCTAATCATACAAAAACATAATAAAATGTCCTATTTTATTGGGTTGGCAAATAAGTTCGTTCGGTTTTTTCCATTCAAAACCAGTCAAAAAACCGAACGAACTTATTTGCCAACCCAATACTTGTAACATTTGTGTATCGACATATCTTTAATCACCTGCTAGATATTTCATCAATAATTGTGCAATGCTGACATTTACTGATGTGATATACATATGTAGCTGAAACATGTTATAATTATTATTCCACAAACACGTTTTTTTGGTCGTACTAATAAATTATTGTACAGACACTAAAAATATTTCTTTATAAAAATATTTGTTTTATATTATCTAAAATGACGAATTTCTGCTTTCTAACATCGTACTACTATCAACATTACGATAAGACAAATATAACACAAATTTTTAAATTCTGTTACTAAATTAATATAATAGTTAACATAACAGTATAACAAACATTAATTAGCTTCAACTGCTGCTGCGAAATGCAAACAGCAAATTAAATGTATAAAGAAAGAATACCCATCTAAACGCGAGATATATATCTTAATACTTCTTAATAACATTTTAACTTTTTAAACATATTTTCCTAAATACTTGATATACGATGCTTTGTCATCTCAATGACATCCCAAATTGGACACTTGACGTAATTTTTTGTCGTATAACACATCATATACATAGATACATAAATTACATGAACATCGCAAATGTTTCACGTAAGATTTATGTTGTACATTTATATTTCTCATGCATTATTGTGTTATGTTAATAATTTCTAATAATATATATTGTATGACAAACGTTTACGAACAATGTTGTAAATTTTTATAAATAATGTAATATATGTACATATATATTGCATTCATTTTTTACAAAGTAACATTTAGTTTTTCAAAGCAAATTAATTATAAATTATAATGTCAATATTATTAATTACATTTATATTATTTCTATGATCATAGTTATAAATACTTTGAGTTTACATTTTTGTATCAAGTCTATGCACATGCACAGATTCCATCAAATGTTTATATGAGAATTGTTATTATCCTTATTATGTATTAACTAAATAACTAATGTTAAGTAACTAATGTTTCTAGTTCTGCTTTTCTACTTTTCCATTTGTCCATCTGTACTCAGTTACTACATTCAACATCTTATTATCTAATAACAGATTAAATAATAAAAACCAAACCTCGTATTATCAATTGCTATCTACTCCAAAATGATACAATAATATAAAAAACCAATATTCTATATTAGTTAACAGAGTAACATCGTACAATAAGAAAACATAACACAATTTCTTCAACAGAAATATATTTGATCTTACTTGCTTCAATGGTAGACACATAGTAGTTAGCTAAACATTAAATGTAAAATATATATGTGAGTACAATGGAAAAAATTGATACTCTTTTATATATGAAATCACATGAAGAAGAAAGAGAATTTAATACATATTTGTTAGAAACAATTTTTAACACTAACAAAAATTTTTTTATAATGAAATATATGTTTTATAATATTTTACATATATGCATTTTGAGACATACATTTTCTTAAATATCTTTAACATCTTGCCACAATAATAATGTGTAAAAAAATAAGAAAACAGTAGGCTAACGATACGAGCTAAAGAAAATATGTAATATTGATTTATATTATAGTGTATTCACAAATAGTAAGGAAAAAATAATGTAAACATTTCGACTATACTTAGTTTTCCGTGGTACATCAAGTGAATACATAGAATAAGATTAAATTAAAAAATAATCATAACAGAATAAATAAATTAACAATAAAAATAAGTTAAAATTCTTAATATGCAATATTAAGAATTTATTGCATATTATACAACGAGCCTAATTTTCTATTATTAAGAAAACTCACATCCCTCCCATTATAATTTATAAAGAAAATCTTTGCCACATGGAAAATGACAAGTTTGACCAATAGTTGTCGATATTTTTTATAATAGAAAAATTTCTTGTAATGGGTTTCTTTAAATTTATTTTCATTACATTTAATAAAGATTACGTTGTTTAAGTCATCTGGTAAAGAAATGTTCAATATATTGAAAATAGAGATTATTCTTCCACGGTACAACTGCTCAAATTTTGTCAGATATATTTAAAATGACATGATCATCTTATTTTTCTGTATTATTGTCTAATATTAACTGATGAAAATGTGCTAAGCATAAGAGTTTAGAACTCTTGAATATTTTTCATATTAATAAATTTATTTAAGCTTACATATATTAAAGTATCAAAAAGTAATGAGGTTAAGAAAATATTCTGCATGTAATTTGTTTACTACAATTTGTTTACGGTTTATACAGTAAGTGCAAAAAGTATTCGTACAATGAAAATTTTTATGAAAAAAAGCTTTATTTGTAGAAAATAAACACTAATTAGCAATTTATTAACAAAGAACATAATAGATGATACATTTCTTAAAATTATTTTAGCAAAAAATATAATAAAATAAATATATCATTCTAATAATAAACAAAAATAAGAAGAATTATATTATTTTAGTACGCAAAAAGTATTTTGGCACTAATCATAGCCTGTAATCTTCGATGCATCAATTGCACTAGGTTTCGCGTGGTGATTGGTAAAATAGATTCCCATTCTTCTTGAAGAGATTTTAAAGTCTTTTCGCTTCGAAATTTCTCTTTTCCTAATAGCATTTTCAAGAATACTCCATAAATGTTCAATAGGGTTGAAATCCGGTGACTGCGGAGGTGTATGCAATTGTTTTGGTACATTATATAAAAGCCGTGCTTCGTGTTGTAAGCTGAATGAACCTTTGGATCATTGTCATGTTGAAAAATAATATTATCGGCAATTCCTACCTAACATGAAGATTTTTTTTCAAATTTCTCAATTTTTAAAATCTCTACATTTTATGGTCCATAATACCATTAATAATATGTAAATTGCTGACCCTTGCTGCATTCTCAAACAAGCACGGAACCACCACCGTATTTAACTGTGGGTATGAGATTTTTGGATCGGATTCTGTATTTTTTTTTTCGCCACACCAATGTCAGATCCAAAAATATAAAAATTTTCGTTTGAGAAAATTTACACAGTATTCCAATATTCTTCAGTTTTATTAAGATGTTGTTTCGCGAACTCTAATCGTTTACTGCGATTGCTCACATTTACCCAGAACTTTTTCCTAGCAACACGGCCATGATACCCATTCTCGCAGCACATATTTCGAACCGAATTAGTAGAAACGTGTATCCCACGATTTTCAAGTGCCACTGTAATCTTTGGGGCACTTGATGTTTTTAGGTCTATCTTAATTTGACGGATTATAAAACGTTTATCAGTCTCACTTAAGACTCATAGCCGACCACACACACTTCTCGGTTTATTTTTCACTATTTTCCTTTCACAAAAACAATCAGTTATCGATTGAATTGTCGATCGGAGTTTTTCGACAAGCTGAGTAATTTCTCGAAAAGATTTACATTGATTATGTAATTTAATAATAATTTTTCGCTCTCCTTCGTTTGCCTCTCTGCTTTTGCAACCCAGCCTTTGCTTGAATAATGCAGTAAGACTGATATTATTGGCTCTTCAAAAACCATAATAAGGAGAAGCATAGATTTGTGTCTGATGTAAACAAAACAGCTCCGCGGAAATAACCGTATTCATGACCTTGCAAATTAAATTTTTCAACTGTACAAATACTCTTTTTGCGCCTTTAAAAACACTATTTTTCATTATTTTATTGTTTTGGAGCATAAAATGTTATAATTTATAAGTTTTGTTTTTAAGGTATTGTTAAGAGAGACTTTATAATGTAAAAAAAAATTAGTTTTTGTTTATAAATTATTATTACACAAAAATAAACTATTTTCTGTGAAAATTCATAGTGTACGAATACTTTTTGCACTCACTGTAGAAAGAATCTGAATATCTAAGAATTTTATATGGATTAATGCAATAAGTATTTAATATTTCATTCACATAATTGTAGTTTAAATAAAGTTTAAATACCATATTGCAAGTAATATTTTTTACTTTTGATTCAAAATTAAGTGCAAATACTTTACATCTAATATACTTCTAAGATATTTAGGAAAATATTAGTTATATTTAGCAATAAAAAAATTAATAATTAAATAATTAAATAATAAGCTAAAACTAATTTGTACATGCTAAAGGAGTATATGATCTAATAACATGTCTTAAAATCACATTTGTAAATCATTGTAAATAGCACTTTAATGTTATTAAAATTTGATGAAACACATATTTTTTAATCATTTAAAAACAATTTTTTATTATTTATTAAAAAATAGCTTTGTTATCTTTATTAGAAGTTATTAAGATATCATACTTTAAATTTTAATTAAAATACTTTTTACTGTAATCACTTTTGGTTAAAAAATATATTATTGTTCGCGCGTACTAGAATGCGAATGGATACTTTACCTTTTTGTTGTCAACATTTATTTCGCTTTATAATATATTTAAAAATGTTTTTAAAAGCGATGAGATTATATATATTTTTAGCAATTTATGCTGTAATGTATAAAATTACAGGAAAAATTTTGTAGCATAATAAAGAATTAAATTATAGGAAGATTCCTCAGACAAAATTAGATTGGTAAATTACATAAAAATCTTTAAGGCATTACTTTTTATTAAGAAACAATGTGTCACACTATGCAAATAAATAAAATAGAATTTAGATAGTTCTTATACACGCACACGTGTCATATGATGATTGTTTTTTTTTTTTCCAAAAACATATTTCGGGGCAGTAATTTATATCTACAGAATTGAAAACAACATGTTTCATTCAATCACGAAACTTTAAATCGCAATATTTTTTCTAAATTTTTTTCACATAATTGTAGCAATTAACTTATGTAGACATTTTGTAATCATGCAATAAAAAATTAATATTGGCATTTAGAGAAAACAGAATACGAAATGTAAAAATTCTAAATTCTTCTAGATAAAATTTAAGGGTGGGGACTGGGAGGAATTCAAAATACACAGTTCTAGTAGAAAAAGGAGCACATTTTACCTGGTCTGTACTTGGACTTCTTGCCTTGTCTTCATTTTCTCGTCTTAATTCGTCCTGCCGTTTCGGACTTCGTAAGACGCGTTGGTAAGGATCGCCACTTCCAAGATCACTGGTGTTCAACACGACTAAGGAGATCTTCTGCACGATGTCCACTATCACTAACCCCGACTCGTTTCCATAGGCCAATCTAAACATTAAAATATTCTATTGTATTCTCTCTACTTATGACATTTGCGATGACATTTTTTAAAAATTTATGAAATTTATGTCTATACGTGATATACGGTAATATACGGTAAATGTCAACTCGATTATGAAGTTCTGATGTACAATACAATAGCTAATACAATTTTGTAAATTCTCTAAAGAGAACACTTACAGGCCATACGAGGAGTTTAAACTGAGGGCCGTTATATTTTCGGGTAGTTCTCCAGGGGGTGCCGTTGTCAAACAAATCAGTGTCGCTTGAAAACCGGCTGGTCTTTTCTGCAGTCCCGTCTTGACTTTGAGCGGATGATTGAATTCTATAGTCTTCGATTCCATGTTTCCTACGATGTTTCCGGTTGCCGGAGATTCACGATCCGGTGAATTGTCCCCTTCTCTTCCTGGCTCCACCGATAAGCATATTTCCAAAGTCTGCAATATCGGAAAACATCGTTTAATTTTTTTCTACAAGAAAAACATTATTAATTAATTCATGAATGCAGCGTGAAGAGAAGACTGCTATTATGTAAATGAGGTTTAATAAATTAATCTAATATCTAGATAAGAAAAGAATACACGTCTCATTTTGTTCATTTTAAGTTAACTAGATAGTAGCAAAAAAAGTAATGCATTAGCAAGTTAGTGTAGATAACTTACCACTACTTCAGACATACTTTCAACCCTCTTAAATTTGAACAACACGACATGCTTGCCACTTCCCGCAATAGCTAATTTCCGACTTTCAGGACAAAGGAAAATAAGTTGAATCGCTAATGGATCTTCCTCAGAATCTATACTACGCGTTTTAGTTTTTTCGAAAAGTTTCGCCGTCTTTAGTTTGTAAAGGACTTGTAATGTTCCTGCTGAAGCGTCCCAAAACTTTATACTGCCATCGGCATGTCTGCGAACAACATGTATGTAGCTATAGAAATTTAAGCAACTTTATTGATTATCGTCTAACTTGTGATAAACTGTAATAACATGTATATGCATAGTAACATGACTGTGCATAGTAACATATATGATATAATCATGCATATATTTTAATACTATGAATGTCATCGTGTGATTAAAAAGATAAATTGCTTATTCATCGATATAAAGTTATATCTATGATAATATTACCCAGTGAGGATAATCTCGTTATAACTACTAGAACTGGAACTCCACTCGCCACCGGAGATAGGCCATTCTTTCTCGCTAAAGCCGGTTTTCTTATGCGACTTGGATCCAACGGAATAAAATGCAGGTACTAAATCCGAAGGACAATCCGCGAAATATGCACAACATGTCACAGGAGATTCGTGAATATCCATAGGGTATGGATTCTCAAAACAAGGGAATCCAGTAGTTAACAAATCTATCACAACCAGGTCATTTTGTAGTAAAACAACAACAGCATAAGGGTCTTGAAAATCTGAAAAAATGATAATAATGATTAATGCCAAATAATTTACACCAAATAATACTGATGACATATGTATAACGATTTCTCATCATTTACATGGCAGTCGATAAAGATTAAAACTTGTTATACAAAGAAAAATTAATATTTTATTTTCAAAAACATTAAAAAGCATGTTCTACTGTACCACTAGCCCATGGACTCTCACACAGCGTTATAAAGTCTACAACATTATGTTCCATTTCGAGCACCGTAGTAGTTTTTCCATGTATCACTGTAATGCTGGGTGTTCTCCCAGTGGTGTCCTGTGCCAATCCACCAGAAAATATCACATATGCTTCTCTGAAAGTTTATGCGTTTAGGTCGTACATTATTTGAGATTAACATATAGTTATTACTTGAAACTATATAAATCGTTAAATAAAACCCATCACATATCATCTTACCCCGATCTCGATATTTTCCATTCTACTTTCTGAATGGCTTTGCAACGTTCAGGTTCTCCATCTTTAGTGAATTTTGCTATAAAAGAGATATTAGTGTAAAAATTTTATACATCACACGATCGAAATAAATAATGGAATCAATCAAATCTCACCATGTGGAAATGTTACACTTGGCTTTAATTGCCGAAGGGTCCAAGTCGTAAGAGAACCGTCCGAGTGACTGCACATAAATTGTTTACCTTCATGATGCCATGATATCGATGTTAATAAATCATCTGTTTGACATCTATACTCAACAGTCTTGGTTTTTAAGTCCCACAGAACGATTTGCCCTGTCGAAAATCCTATGAGCATCTGAAAGCAAAGCATCCGCGCGTATAACAAAAGTGCGTATACCATTGTTAAAACATACTTCCTTGAAACAAGACACGTGGAGATATATATATATGTATGCATATATAGGTGATAAAATGTATCCTTTTACAATATGTCTCGATTCTGTTGTCACGACAATACATTTAGCATATACATAGAAAGATTAGGTATAAAAATGTAGTGAATAATGGTTTCTACAAGATTTGTGCGAAGGGCACAGATAAAACTCAGAGATACGATGATTGCGCATGATGTTAATTATCGATTGCTGAAGAAGAACAAGTGAGATGGACAAAGATTTTTGTAATCAAAGACAAGTTAATTAGAAAGGCAGACCATGTTGTACATACTTTACGCGATTGAAAAAAAATTATGCGTAATACGCAATACCAATTATGCAATTTTAATTTTGATGTTAAATATGAAACTAACATACTTCTCACTTGAAAGACTTAAATTTCGAGCACTTCAATTTTTAGTATTAAAAATGGCAGTTTTATAATTATAGTCCTTAGTATTTTGTTTAGTGTAATCACTGTTTAAAGATAAAGATGTTTTTGTTATAATACTTTTAGAGACAAGAAAATAGTTAATTGGCGGATATCCATTAAACTTAGATTTGTACAATTGTACATCCTTAAAAATTCGTCTGTACGATTTTAAAAAGCACTTTTTTATAACAAATAATGTTTTTTTTCGACGTAAACAAAATAGTACACGTTTCTTTACACAGTTACAATCGAGAAAAACCAAACAGCATATACGATATACGATATTACATGTATAATATCAAATTTAAGCTATCAATATCAAAGACACAGAGAGTTGCAAACGCAACCCGAACACACAAACACTCATCACACACTCATGACTGCACAATTAGTAGGGTAAATAGAAGATACATTTGCATAAGGTCCGTAACAGAAACTCCGTTGTCGGAAGTTGAAATAACAGTGAATTCATATAAAATGTGTAAAAAGATGAGTGATCATGACCGCGCAGTATGACTTTCATCGATTTGTAAAACTGATCTGAATCCATTTTAGAATATCGAACAATATGGATTTTCTCTCTCAATGAAAGGCGTTTTTTATTCTTCTTCGTTTGTACATATCACAACAGTGACAGCATGCACGCATGCACACATACAACATGCAAGCACACACTTGCACTTATTGGCTTGGATCTAGACAAATAATCCAAGTTTGTAAGAAAAAAAATATTAAATAAACGCCAAATGTTCCTTTTTTCTCTTTCACACGCGTCACGATAAAATTGTCAATCATGAAATTATGATAAGGATGGAATAATAATGCAAAAAAAAAACGTACTCAAAAAACGCGCGTACCTTGCTCAAATCTAACGGATTATCACTCAAGTGTACTACAGCACCAGGGTGAGTTTTTCTAGATCTGAAAAATATATATATATATATATACACACACATGTATAAGAGAACCATTATTTTTGTGTTATTGTGAAACATATATAAAACTCGTGTGCGGTCTTTAACCGGTGTATTTCATTGTAGTTTTATCATCACATTGTGCTTCAGCTTATAGGTGTTACGTTATTTAATGTGCCGATAATATCTTTATATATTAATTGGCACTATTATTATATGTATATTTTCATGAAACACGATAAGAAAATCGTGGTTGATAAGTATACAAATAATAAATAATAAAGCATTCCTAAATAGTTAGGTACAATAAATAGTTAAAGATTTCGTAGCGTACATAATGCCGATAAATCAAATGTTGAGATATTAATAGGCTTTGTCGATAGTAATGAATTTTCGGAAAGTAGAAGGAAGATCACAAGAGGATTCGCTTGCATAAGTTATTTTAAGTGTCTCGCTATTGGGAATTATTCATAGCTAATTATTCATTAACATCTGAGGTACAGCCACGTTGCTCGTTATTTATTTACTAATCAGATTAATATTCTGTGACGCAAGTCCTAAAGTCCCCAAGTCGAGAAAAACATCTATGTTGAAAATAAGAATAAGTGTCAATACCCTTTTTAACTGTAAGGCAATTCTGAACTGGGCTAAAATTTATACGACTAATTATTTAATTGACAATTTTTTTTAATTTACATCGTGGATATATTAAGTCCCAATAGTGTTACACTTATAATGACTATAATGAGCACCCTTATACCATCACTGCCACATTCACATCTATGTGTCTACGGTCAGGCACAATAAAGAACTACAGGTCTTTGACGTCTGTTCCTTCCAGTGTTAACAAAGTAATAGATATATAGTACTAGTTTTTATTGGAGATAATCTCCATACGAACGTTATCCGTTCACCGTAATTTAATTGACCCATACATTCACACATTTAAGACACAATCTTGAACGACACATCCGTTATAGGAAATTAGTGGAAACGGGATCTGAAAATACATGTACTTTTCACTCATCTTTTTGAAAAATATTCTTAAGAGATATTCTCTCAGAAACACAGCAAGTGCTAATCTGTCGCGTCTTGTAAGGATTACACAAATAGCTAATATATATCCCTTTTAATTTGAAACATTCTCTAAGCCATTCTATAATTCCTCACTTAATGTTATAAATACAGATTTATTAAGGTAATAAATTTAATGACGCGCGTGAGAGACACATATTTTATGTCTTAGATTTATTTATCTGTAATAAAACGATGGGCAGAATTATAAGTGACTTGGAAAACGTTTTCCACATTAAAAGAAATATCCGCAAACACACTCGGTATATTTTCCGTGATACAAACTTAAAGTGCCAATATCTTACAATTGTAAAATAAATCTTTTATCGTACGTTATATCGCGGAGTCTTTCCGCCGCTTTCAGAAAATTTCATTAAAAACAATGCCTAATTAATCAAGCGCTAAAAATTCAGAGGTAATTCACATCGTATTATTGCCCTTTGTACTGGAGATCCTATCGCTGAAATCAATCATGTTAAGTGGCAGTTCCCTTCGAAATACTTACCTTAATGCAACGAAAATGTTAAACTTGTTTGTATGCTCGCAATTAATAATAAAATTAGAAATTACCAAGACTGGCATTAAAGTTTATTATGCTTTGCATGCGTTTATCAACGTACGATTGCATTTGTTTCAAACGTATCGGCGTTTGTACATACAGATAGCACCGACATACGCCTGTTTCACTTATTAAGATTATCAAATATCTCAATAGCAAAGATGTATATACTTACACTTCGATAGCCTTGTTCCAATTAATTATATATCCAGATAGAACGAACGTTTCAATGTGCAGTATGTGAACGTTTCCTCGATCGGTCCCAATGTACAACCATTTACTTTGTAGCGGTAAATGAATGCATGTAATTCTGTCGAAAACGAATATTACATGTTCCAATTAAACACTTGCTGCCGAAAAGTTCAAATAGTTTAGTTTAGCGCTTGCGAAATGTGAAATCCCTCAAGTATATCACACATTTCACTCATCCAACGTATAATTAAAAGCAATAGCCATTAAGCGTACTTTGCACGAATCATGTATATTGGCAAAAGACGAAGCTCAAAGCTTAAAATTAGGGAAAGTAACATTAGCCCATCGCGTGCTAATGACTGACCTGTCTCTTTGAAACTTGAGGCTGTGCACCACCTGCGGTATCTTCTGACGAAAGTTCCACAAGTGTAAGGTGTCGTCCTCAGTAACAGACACCAATGCTCCCTCATTTATTAAAAATTGTAAGCGCAGAACGGCTGCACATTCCTCGTGTTTCACGTGCGCATCTACGCCCGGTCTGCCTAGACTGTTTTTTTTTTTAGGCATCGGGTTAATTAAGGAAAATACAGGTCTGTATCGATTGCAAACCGCGGCCGCAATTATAAAATATCGTCGTATTATAAAGCAATAATTAATAATTCCGCACATTTACGCGATAGAACGTTTCTCTATTCTTTCATCATGCGATAACTTATTAAACCCCCCTACCCCCCAATAACATAGTAAACGCATAAAAGTCAAGCGAGACATTGGTAGAAAATTCTCATCGATACCGACTCGTTAACTTCCGCATTTCACGTCCGGAGGAAGGTAAGGGTCCCTTAAATACCGTAAAGACTTTTACCTATATTGAAATCGACAGCGCGGCTGGAACTCTTCCGTTTATAGTTCATCGCGATGGTTAGTAATGCCCACCGAACTGCGATGAGCATCTCTATTACTACACTTTGGCCACGATAGATCAATGAAATCGCTGACGTGTAAAAACATACGGTCGAAGAGCCACGGACCGACAGGACCGTGTAATTAATCCGCTAAAATTGTACAAACCCGTGTCGACACCCGAAATTTTTTATAGCGGTCACAAAAGCAGGCGAGTACTGTTTTTACTTCCGCCCATTCTCGACAAACGTTTTTGCGAATGAGAACAGAATTACGCGAGTGCATTTACTGGCGACGCTGGCGGTCGAGAGAAAATTTGCGGTCATTTGATGCAGCAGCAAACGTATAATGCGCTAACAGAAAGTTAGGAAAGAGAGAGAAAGAGAAAAGTAAAAATCGTATCACATTGTGTGCACAGCGCTGCCATTCAGTCACTTTTTTTCACCTTTTTTTAACAAGTCACTAAAATGTCACTATCCAAAACGGGTCTTTCTTTGCCTGAGTTGACATAATATTTGTAAAACATAAGCGTTCTATTCGTATTTTTATTTTCTATTATTCGTATTTTGTCAATTGTTATTCGTTCACTGTTGCTCATTTGGTACTAGTCCGGTGTTTCAACATCTGATTACTTATAATTAGCACCGCGAACCGAATGCTAAACAAGGCGCGGCTGATATAAAATCTATCATGTTGCCGGAAACAAAAGATGAAAATAATTGCTAAACATACAAAAGAATATTTGTGTTTGGCCTTTTGTGACCAGCTTGGAAGCATAGCTTCCACCAACTTTTATTTTGTTTGGTCGAGTCTTTATTTTATTATATATAATAAAATGTACTATTTATTTTATTTAATAAAATTGCACCAGATATATACTTGTATATTATATCGTTCAAATACTTGTTTTTCCCCTTTTTTAAACCATGCTATGAAAAGAATGTGTTATATTTCTGGCTATTGATTGACTTTTGATTACCATTTTAATTCCTAAAAGGTTACTTTTTCTGTCAAAAAGCAGTCACTATTTCACTTTTTTTTGCTTCAACGCGATGACTGGATGGCAGCGCTGTATTGTATGCGGTAATCAATGGTCGATCTCTCGTGTCCTTTAAGCCGCCACGCGCCGAGAAAGGGAAAGTTTAATTGCGGGATGCCACCCCGTATTAACGATCACGTTGAAGGATACATCCTAAGGGATCCGGATTTAGTGCCAATCGCCAACAGTCTTTGGATCGGGTCGAATGCCAACGCTGTCGGCTGATGCGGGAAGCCGTGTCGAAACGTCTGTAACATAAAAGCCGTCCGTTTCATGCCATCTTTCCTGCTTTAGCCGCTCGGAAGAGACTATTCATCCCCTACAAGGGGTTGCGGAGATATATCAGACGAACGGGGAGGAACGGTATTGTTTCACCGACTCCTATTGTGTATCCCGTGGACAACCTGGCTACTGTTAATTCTATACCTTTGTTGCCGGTAAATGTTACTGATACACATTGTTCGTTGCGAGTATTTAAAGTCAACTTCGTCGGGCGTTATCCTCGATTTTCCATAAAGAGCCACTCCCTTGCCGTCGTTAGGGCGGACTGGTATCGAAGGTAGGAACAAAGTACACTTCCTCTATCCCCCGAACTTCTAAACAAGTTTTCCTACGAGTTCAAAAAGTAGGTATTTTTATGGGCGAAACTTACGTCACGTAAAGTAACGCGAGACGCGACACTATAGGCCAATATATGCCGATATAGAACATCACGGCTTACACCGTTCTCCGCTCAAGAAACTTGGCTTAAAACTTCGTTTCGCTTCGCTCTACCTCCTCGCAAAGCGAAGGATGAGGTAATCTTATGAAATGGAAGATGCGCCTCGCCGCACGCTTTTCACGGAGAGTTTGCAATCGTTCCCGTTGCGAAGTGCATCAACGTCGATTAAAAAAAAAAAAGAGAGAGCGAGAGAGAAACCTAAAGACCTATGTCGCGCTCGACAGATCGGCGTGCTCGGGGATTATGTGAGTTGGCCGGGAACAATCTTGTTTAGGATTAACCGCGAAACGCGAGACCGGTCGAGGAGGAGAAGGAGGCAGCGCGAGAACACACACGAGCAACGTACACGCTTTCGAGGTCGATTTTGGTGCAGCGGGACTCCGCCAACCGCTTTTCGCTGCTGGTGAAAACTGCCCTCGTTCCATTTCACCGGTTACCACCGCCGGTGGTCATCGAGGGGAAGTGGGTTAAAATACGGCGGATACGAAAGTTACGATCGCCCAGGAGGAACCACCTGCCCCCTCCCGCTCTTCCCCACCGGGATTCTCTGATTTCGCCCAATGTCCCCGAGGGAGGCTCGCCCACGCGAAATTTCCGCCGGGCCGGCTTCCCGGATTGCTGATGGACCCGCGTCGTCAGCATCGCAAGATGCCCTGCGCGAAATATTACTCGCGCGGAATAAGAGGATTGCGGGGGATTTTGGAAGTTACGCCCGGTATCGCAAATAATCGCAGCTTAAGTTGTATAATTAATCGTATGATTTCATTATCAATACATACGATATTTATCCGCGATATTCCGCCTGATATATATATTTGTATTAAATACAATATTTAAGTGGAAAGGACCGTTATGATATAAAGCCATTTTACGGTATGAATTGGATCTTGATAGCCTAATCATATTTCTGTGTATTTTGTATGTGTATTTTATATATATTTCTAACTTATTGTTAGTAAACTGCGCGCTGATTCTTTGTCGGGCTTAAAACACAGTTTTTCATTGGAACATTAAAATACCCTACCCCCTCATTCGGATAAAAATTGACCGAGATATGCGAGCGCCCAGCTTTTTTTGCGGTATACGGCACCACACGCTGAAGGCGCAAATATTAATATTTTTTAATGATTTTTTTTACAATATATTTAATATATGTACTTTAAAGAAATGACAAACCAATTTGATTAAATTTATTATTTCTCGCGAAAAAAAATTCATGAAAATAGCATTTTTTCCGGCCGTCACTGTGGTTTCCCCCCTTAAATCGATGTCGATTTAATTTTGATGCTAATAAGCATCTAAAATATTGCTATAGAGAATTTATTGCGAAAGATATTACGTCAGCCAAGGTTCGAACCTGGAACCTCCCTCAATCCGTGTGAGTATCGAATTAATATATTTGATAATATCAAGATTGATCGACAATTTTTATACGTTTCGCTCATACCTTATCGCTTCATAGCGTGCGAATGAAATCAGGTCAGAAATCGCAGTCGTCAAACGAATGAAATCCTTATCACGCTTATCACAATGCAGCATCAATAGACTTCAAAATTATTAAATTTGTAATTCGCGAACAAACACGCTGAAAGTTGGCCGCTCTCACGTTCGCAGGGGAAAGTGTTTGCTCTGCATGAGAATACTGACGCGAAACTATTGACCTAATTCCGAAAGGATAAGTTGCGTTTAACTATAGCGATCATTAATCTGTTTGTTCGAAAAGTCACACTTCCGCATTCTGGAAAGAAATTCAAATTAAGTATGCAAAACAGTGGAGAGAAATACGAGGGTTTTTCCCCCAGCTGCGGATATAATTTTGCGACCGCATGCAGAAATTAACCCGCTCACGCAGCGCGGCGCGGGGGCTGGGAGCACGGATTATCGCATCGCGTCGGGCAGAAAGCGTTTCACTCGATCGTGTTATAGCGTGATGATTGCATTATAATTTGCGGCGACAGAACGGCTCACCCAACGCCCTGCAGGCGCGACAATCCGAGCGATCACATGCACGCGTGGTCGGGCCACGTATTCTCCGCGGCGCGAATATAAAAATTTCCCGAGCCGCATTAACCGCAATATGGTAATACGTTCGAACACCTCTGATCTGAAAGTATACAAATTCGCCGATTGATCGTCGCTTCGTTTCGATTTGCTATCCCATTCGATTATCCGTTTTTAGCGAATGCGAAAGCGTATACAATCGTAGGAAAGTACACATTTATATGCCACGCTCGCATTGTATAGATGCTCGTTTAAGATCAGCCAACTTTCAGAAAACCAACCCGTGTGTAGCGAAAAATTTTTGCTGACTATTTTGCTGACCGTGTCAGCAAAATCAGTAATATAAAGAAAAATATTCGATGCATTAAAAATTAAAAAATTTTTTCAAAATATTATTAGTGTGTTTAAATAGAGGAGTTTTTTACCATGAAATTTTTGTATAAAAAAAAACATTTTTTGCTATCTCGAATACTTATCGGGAAAAACAAAAAGCCTCTACACACAGATAGAAAAATTGTTGGTATTTGCGACTATATAATTGAATAGTAAAATAATTATGGTAGGGGTTACTATTTTATAATTAATATTGCTATAATATTAGTAAATATAACCTTACACTGAGAAAAAAATCGTCCCCCAGGGGAACAACTAAAAATTATAGTAAAGTTATGATAACTGTAACGATTTTTTTCTCAGTGTAAAGTTATATTTACTAATATTATAGCAATAATAACTATAAAATAGTAATCCCTACCATAATTATTTTACAATGCAATTATAGTCGCAAATGCCAACAATTCTCTTATATCTGTGCACATGAGGAGTGGTTTCATCCTTTAGAATCGTTTTTTGGCCTCAACTGAAAATTTCTAAATTCATCCATTTACCCCCGCCGCCCTACATGTGTGTAAAGTTTCATCAAAATCAGAATTTTCGGGTTCGCGCTGAGGTTCCCTTGTAAATAACTAAAAATTAGATTAACGGAAAATGAATCTTGCGTTACGTTCTTCTCCGCATCCTTCGATTTTCTAAACGAAATGAACGACACGATAAGATCACAATCACTCCACAAATTAAATTGCGGCAAAACGTAAAATTTTATTATAAATCGAATGCAGGACGGCAGAATAAATTTGTAAGCGAATATTAAAATTTATCTTTGCACAATTCCGCAATTAATAAGCAACTATTACATATCTCCTAATGATATGCTATCAGTACAGCTTCCCAGTACTCGTTTGTGATATTATGTAAGGGATACATTTATATCGTTTATGTTACCGAGATAATATTTAATTAACTGTTCCGCATTCGTTGATACAACCAGAACCAGTAAAAGGCCAGTCTAAAAAGAAAAGCCAGTCCGATTTTATTAACTATATGCAAACGAAAGATAAATAAAGCCGAGGAATTCCTGATATAGATTCTCTTGGCATAAAGTTCGTATTGACGCGTGACACTTTCTTTTTTAAATATCGACGTTACTTTCCTAAAATTCGGATCGCTGTTCATTCGTGCGACAAGTCGTTCGGCCTTGAATCGTATCCTCGATTACTCGTCGTTGTCTTCAAGATGGAACGGCGCGAGAACGAAATTGATGCCTGCGGGTCTGTGCCAGGAGTTACGACAAAGCGCATATAGGTGATACAGCGAAATGATAGATACGGCGAAATGTGTACGCGAGTAGTCCACGGCGTCGGCTCAATATCAAGGTTGCTATCAATTTTCCGCTAGTGAAAACTTTGACGCGTGTGCGTCGGCTTTACTCCGCTTTTTTCCATTCCGTTTTTTTTTCTTTTTCTACAACATCACGCAAAACGGCGCGCGATAAAAGGTGACGTTACTCCAAAAAAACTATAATCGGTACACCGGAAGGTACGCAGATAAATCGTCCCCTAAATAGAATTATTTCTATAAAGGAAGCAATTACTCATACGGCTCTGTATACCATTGTGAAGAGTAATTGAAAAATATGCGGGGGACGCGCAAGTCGAGTCACGGAAAACCACCAGAAATTCCCTCTTCAAGATTGGATCTGCGGCCCCGATTTCGGCCGCATGTGAGATTCCCGACGAAGCCTTTTCGGGGTAAAGCCGAACAAAAGGATATACCGTCGATCATAATGGATCCTCCCAGGGAGAATCTAATATCTTCGCTCGCGTTTCCATCCGACGTGGAAAAATTAAAAAGGCATGTCGGGGGCCGCGTATACGCCTGGTGACGTGGTATCGCCGTTTCGCATCGCGAGCTCGAATTTATTCATCTCCGCATTTTCTATTATATGGCCGCTAGCGCAGCTGCAGCACCGGGGGCCATTATTTCCGCCTCTGCTGACAGATTCAGATACGCGCGTGCTCAAATGAATGTACACGTCGCGATGTAATTTCTAATTTCTCGCAAGGTACTCGCACACACACACACACACACACACACACACACATACACATCTCTCTCTTTCTTTGTGTGCCGTAACTAACATTTTTCTCTTTTACTCTCGTCACGGCCGAGCTGCGTGCGCGAAATAATTCGCTGCCCACCACGCTCGGCGTTTACGGCTTGCGAAAGATCACACGGCGAAAATCGTAATAGGTGCGACAAACGGTCGAGAAGAGTTATCTCTCAGCAGGTAGAAAAAATCTCGCGTTTCCTCGCAGATTTATGCGCGCCCGGTTCATCCCACTTTTATCACGGCGAATTCCAAACGTGAAGGATCGCCGTGGATAAAAATTCGGCGGCGATCCTCTTAATCGCCGTTGAAAAAGAGCCGTAATAACGTAATTAAGATCGAATCCTGGCGAGTCGCGCAGGTCACCATTTATCAATGCGCTCGAAGCATCGTCAGGTAATTCTGGCTGTATTGTACGATGCGAACTCCTTATTGGCGATATTGCCTATAGTTGTACGAGCCCACGAGAGGGCGAGTCATCATAACTTGCGGCATATATTGACAGATCTGTCACATGTGTCTCCTATAAATTGCCTTTATTGGGAGTACAAATGAATACTTTCCCGCATTTTATTACCCGCGCGGTTTTACATATGCGAAAAATTAAACGATAAATCGAAATAACACGACAACAAGCGTCGATCGTGTCGATAGACGCGTAAATACGCAACGTCGCTCTCTCTCTCTCTCTCTCTCTCTCTCTCTCTCTCTCTCTCTCTCTCTCTCTCTCTCTCTTTCGCGTTCCTGTAACGTGTCGAAAATGAGATACGACAAGAAATACCCAGGAAGATAAGATAAAGTGCGACGTTCACGAGCACGTATGGACGATTTTTCAACTTCCACCTGCTTCTTACATCATTCTTCCGATGCCTCTCGAGCGCCAAGTGCAACGGGGAATTACGTACAACCCCAGAATTTCTTTTGAGAGAGAGAGAGAGAGAGAGAGAGAGAGAGAGAGAGAACGCGACGCTCTTTAACTATATAATTCATTATATTGTCCGAAGTATTTCGTGATGCTAAGTTAAGTGGTCCCTTCTCTTAAGACCCGCGATCGATATTCATCAGGGATGCTCTCTCTCAAACATATTAGCGTTGCACCGAAATTTTCGGCGATGTATCCGTGGGATGTATGCAAATGTCAGGTGAAGCGATAAACCGCGGCGCTCGAGGATGAACCCTCAGCAATTATGCAGCGCATAATACAAGCGTATCATCGTTTTCCGAGAAGGCAACATGCGTAATTTTGTTCGCGAAATAATACATGTTACTCCAAATGCACCCGCGCGTTATCGTCGATGCATAAATGAGGAAGCGAATGCGAAATAAGCGCAAATAAGCGCTTTCAAAAGCTGCGCGTATTATTTTATTCTCCGAAACAGGAAAACCCGCGGCCGCGTTTTCTAATCGGCTGCCTGCCTGACTGCTTGCCTGCCTGCCTGCCTGCCTGCCTGCCCGCGGAGAATTTGCATGTTCCGCGCTGCATCAGCTCTACGCGTCTCCGCGTCGTAAAAAAAAAAAAAAAAAAAATTGCACGTCAAATCGCGGTGCGCGCGTCGAGAAACCGGTATCTCGAATATGTCATCCTCGTCTCGAGAGCGAGAGAATTAAAATACTAAGTAGCAATGGGAATATATGATCGCCTACGCGCCATCGAGCGATGATTTCAGCGGAGGCAAATGCAGCGCGCGCGTTGCGTCGCGTCGCGTCGTCGAGTTTACGCGCGTTCACGACTCGCCGCGCCGTGAAAATCGCAATCGTGACCTCGTTTAACGGCGCGATTTTATGACTTTACGACGAGGTCGTGCTTCGAGGGGCGACAAATGCGAGAGGAGGCACGTGTGGAAAGGTGTCGCCTGAATTGATCATCACCGACGAGGACGCGACGAGAGATGAGGGGAGAGGGAAGAGGGGGGGGGAAAGAAATCCCCGCGAGCGATCGAATTAAAATTGTAATACTCGGCGGAGATCGCGAAGGCCGAGAAACAAATCGGGATCGATCGGCCGGGAGAGGCGTGTATAACAAAAATACGCGGCGCATATAAATGTAGTAAACGTCTCCCTCCTCCCCTCCTAAATCGTTCGTTCGTGTTCTCGCGCGCATTCCCCTCGTATCTGCCCGTATCGTTATCTGTTCCTCGTTCGCGTAACGGATATTCGCACGAACCGTGTATATCGCGATAGTCGATATCAACTTCGCCAACGGTTACGAACGATATTCGCTCCGGGTAAATAGACGGCGGGGGGAGGGGACAATTTCTGATGCACGAAAGTCAAAGCGCACGAGATACCTCGTGCGACGCGTGGCAACGCCAGCGGGGTGTATCGACAGCCATGTTTACTCTTCGGCTTATGTACCCCCCCGGCAACCTGGGCCTTCTCGGCGGAGCACACGAGGTTTTGCCCTGTAGAAGGGCTCGTGGTTCGCGTGTCACGCGAGTGCGCCAGTCTTGGAGCACGATTTCGAAATTATTTAACGTGTAAACTCGGCACGAGCATTCTAAGCGACTCCACGAGTGCGGCACAAGTCGCTCGGAAAATCCTTTTCCATATATAAGCTCGCTTAGAACCAAGGTTGAGAAATTACAAGTTGAGAAAGAAAAACGCTGTCTTCTCTTCAGTCTCCTCTCTCTCTCTCTCTCTCTCTCTCTTCCACAGAGTACACTGCACTTGCAGGCGAAAACGAAGCGCTCGAGAGTGTTATACCAGTTAATAGCGCGATGCAATTGATATGAATTTATTCAGCGATATGAATTCCAAAGAGTTCGGGGATTACATAAGCTTTCAATATTGACACAGCGTGTTTACTGGGTTGCGGTTTGTTTACACGAACCGAAGAGCAGAAAGCTCGACACCGGGATGACGGGCTCTGGTTCGAAGCTGAGGGTATACCTATAGAAGCTTTTACCGAACGATTCGTTCGCGGACGCCGCACTTAAGATAAGTGCGGGCGAATAGAAACGCGAATGAGAGATTGAATCTTTCCTAATCGTTGAAATCCCCAATTCTGGATCTGTGGATATCAGTTTCTTTTTCCTCAATTCTCTCGGGCCATTACATAATGTAACGGACGAGTGGGACGAGTTTTACGCGCGCGTATAGATCTGATTAAAGTCAACGCTATCTACTCGCTCGCCAGTGACGTTACTTTCTCTCACAACTGACCCCATAAAATTCCTAATTGCGCGACTTGCGTCGTTCAGTCAATCGTTAGACGTCGCGGGGTGGGGCGGGGGACGGGGAGAGGGGCAGGGGGTGAAACCTACGGCGGATCTCATTCCGCGCGATTACTCCGAAATTAACGCGGCAGTTCGCACGCCTCGTCGGACCGCCTTGAACCACGTTTCCGCCTCGGATCTGCGAGAAATGCGCGCCGGGAGAACGGCGTGTTATCGACAGGTCCACTTTAATTGGGGCGAATGGGGGAGACGAATGGGGAGGGGGTCGGTGGGCGAAGGAAGAGAGGGATTATCGGGACGAACTCGCCGTGTACTGACCTTCTTAACCTGGAAGTGCTCCGGCTTGAGATTCTCGACGATCTCCTGGTCGGGCTTGACGGGCTGCGGGACCGACGACCGGAACCCGTCGAGCACCCCCTTAATCGTGAACTTCTTCATCGCCAAATGGGGTCGGCCACTCCGGGGAGGGAATCACATGTGCACGTCGTCCCGCCGTTTGTCCCTCCGTCCCGCTCCCGTCCGTCTGTCCCGACGAAAATCACGGCCGGGGACTCGAAGATCGGGGGCTCGTCGTGCTCCTCTCTCTCTCTCTCTCTCTCTCTCTCTCTCTCTCTACATTTTGACAGTACGTCAAGCGCCGCGCGCCGCGCCGCGTCGCGTCGCGTCGCGCCGTGCCACGGACGGAACGGGACGGGACGGGACACGGGACCGCGATCGTATGTCCGTCCGCTCTAGCGATGCCGTTACCAAGCAGTCCGCTCGATCCGGAGTACCGGGTAGAATAGCGTCAACGACAGCGGGGACGACGACAGCCGTCGGCCGATCCTCACGGCGGCGCCCCGACACGCTTTTTACGCCGTATGCGGGAACGCCGTGCGCGGGCCGAGACGTGGCGAGTGTCTTGTTTTCGCGGTTGACGGCAATGCGGTGTTGTTTAATCGCGCCAGGATCAATAACTGGCAACAGGCTCATGTGGAGTTTCGCACGGCCGCGAGCGCCGCGCCGCGCGGGCGCGATGCGCGATGCGCCCCGCGGGTGGACGCGCAATCGCGAAGCGGGTCGCGTCCGCGATTGGCCGAATTGGCGCGGTGACACGTGACGCGAGTGCGCCTGCTCGAGACACTCTCCCCATCATGTAAAAGCGCCTTAATGCGTCGCACATGCGAGCGCGCCCTGAGGGATCGGCACAGGAAACAGGAAGAATAAAGCAAGTCGTTAGGGTCGAGAAAAGGCCCGAAAGGACCGATCGCGAAAGCGTGATCGACGGATTACTTCTCGCGGTCAGAAAAATCGAAGTTGTCGAGTTGTCGGGAAAAAAGAGAGTCCTTCGCGGTCCGTAAGAGCGGGGTTCGAGTATCGTACGTCTCCCAGGTTAGACTTTAAATTCGCGACGTACCTCTCTCTCCTCTCCGTGTGGTTTTTACACTTTCCTGATTTTGTCTCTCACGCATACAGCTGTTATGGACATGGTGATCACGAATTTGCAACAGCAACGTCAAGTGACAGAGCAGCTGCGCCGCGAGGCTGCCCTGAAGCGGATCACGGTGAGCAAGGCTGTCGAGGACATCATGAAGTACATCACCGAGCACGAGCAGGAGGACTGCCTGCTGGTGGGCTTCTCGTCGCAGAAGTCCAATCCCTTTCGTGAGAAAAGCACCTGTGTCGTACTTTAAGCCGGCGTGCTTGAAATGAAGAGGCATGGCAAAGGAGAGGCGAACGATATCACTTTTGTATCTTTGCTATTGTTCGTTGTAGCGATAAGTGTACTCGCGATTGTAGGATCTAAGTAATTTTCTATTTAAATTATTTTATAATATATATAAGATTGTTGAAAAAATGTGAGAAATCAAATTTTCTAGTTCAACGTTTACTGTTTGAAATGAACATTTTGCATGGAGTTTATAAGGTTTTCAAAACGGACAGTTGTACAACCTCGTGTGAGTTATGCAGAAATGTGCACATGCCTTACTTTTTTGTAGCCTAATTGCTGTAATTGCAGTAGATATGTTTCAACGGAACAATTGTATTTTTATATACATATACAAAGAGAGATACTGTTATATGTCCATGTGCTGTTAAATCGTCAAACTATTACCATCTATCTGCCAAGAATAATTTCATCTTCCTATATCTAGACTAATATTATCCTAATTGAAAGTAACAATGATATTTCGACAATAGTTTCAAACAACAGAAGATTAAATACAGCCAAATAAAACCAACATTAGTTCGTATTATTTCGATGTAAATTCTCATGGCGTACATTGTGTATTGATTGCGAATCAGTTTCTTTAATGCCTTCATCAAGGGCCTGTATCAAAGTTTAAAATTGACAATGAGCGATGAAGGCTACGGTCAACTTGACGCTACAAATACTTTGAAGCGTTCTTCTTCTCCTTCTTTCTTTGTTGAAAGAAAGGAGAAGAGGAATGTTTCGAAGCATTTGTAGCCTCAAGTTGACCGCAGCCAAAATAACATAATGCAGATAATGGCTACGGTCAACGTGACGCTACAAGTGCTTTGGAGCGTTCTTCTTCTCTTTCTTTCTTTCTTCATTGAAAGAAAAGAGAAGAGGAATGCTTCGAAGTATTTGTAGCGTCACGTTGACCGTAGCTAATATCAAACGTCTTATTTTAAAAAACGCGGGATTTTAATACACGATTTTACAGATATATTGTAAGTGCATTTTTATTGTGGAATAAAATATAATGTTTAAAAACAAGTGTTTTTATCTTTTATATACTTTAATAAGTAGTATCCATTTTTCTTATAAGTTCCTCTTCATGTAAAGTAACTTCAATAAAGTGTGATTTTTTTTATATATTATCAAAAATATTTTCATCACGCAAGATTGCGTTGTATTTTATTATATAATTACACGCAATTGTTGAATAATTATGTTTCCTTGTTTTTTCTAGCCCTTTTTGCTTTAGTCGGACCGTCGGATTTGCTTATATACATGTTCTTAAACTCGGGCACTAAATCAGCTGTTTTCTTATAGGTCTTCAAAACTGAAAAAGAAATTAGTATATACTTGATACAAGTTCATTTCTTTTTCTGTCCAAGTAGTAAAGATTTTTTTTGCTCTCTGTATCTTCTCGATCTGCACCGTAATTGATATTACTCACATGATTGCTCGATGATATCGATCGGCGGAGAACCGGGTTCTTTGTCCAGAGCGTACTTCTCCACCATTTGTATTTGACACTCCAATTTATAGGATTTGAACATATACGGATGGTAGTTCACGTCGAGTCGATCAATTGCTTTTTTCCACAGCGCAACTTGCTTATCGGTTACACAATTCTGGGCGTCGTAATGCAGCAATGCTTCGCTCTTGTCTCCTATGTCCCCTAATATAAAATTAAGCTCGTCGAGTAAGGAATATCTTGAATATCTCTTTACTGATCGCGTTATTATGCGAATATAATTAGACATACCTTGGAATGCAATTCTCGATAGATAAAAACCGCCCAGTTCAGCATTTGGAATCATGTAGCAGAGATTAGTTTGAGTATTCATCCGCATCGTGAACGCGCACACTATCATTCTTCCTTGAGTGGCACATTTATTTAATAAAGCACCAAAGAACAATAGATTGTCTGCGAGAAAAAACAAAGACCACATTTGACATTACTTTTATAGTAATTAAACGCTGCGATATCATCAATCGAGCGTTATTTCACGCATTAAATTTTTTGTATCATATATTTTATATTTCGTTACCTTTACGAGTGCTACCGTAATCTGCTCTGACGAAGTACTTCCGTTTAATGTGATATCTGAAAAGATCGTCGGGTATAGGCCTTACACCAATTATCTTGATGGCTGGTGGATGTATATGTTTTATCCGGTGCAGCTCCTTTTGCGTGAAACGCAGCTTCATACCACCGATCGACTCCTTAGTTTCCAAGTTAACTTCTTCTGGTATCACAAAAGGTAAATCAGGTTCCTCACTGTCACTGTCACTGTCCTACAATAAATCAAGCAAATCAAGCGTACGAAATAAAAAAATCCAAGACATCCTTATACTTGTCATTTTATGCAAGATCTCCGATTACGTTATACGAGAGATATGCACCTTTTTGTAAGCCTCTTCACCCTTGAAATACGTCGATCTCGATAAAACTTGATTAGTTGCTTTGCTCAGCGATTTTGTTTGCAAACATCTGCGTTTTCTGTAAATGGTACTTACGTTTTTACTTGTACAATATTTAACAATGTTGTAAAAATAAATATTACTCTCATCAACGTGAAGACCTACCTGCCCAAAGTACGCACGACCAAATCAATCTCCAGACCATCACACACCTGAAAGCTTAATCTCGCAATATTTTTGGACGGCGCTTTAATCTGCTGCACCAGATCCACCAGTGATGTCATTCTGTAAACATCTATGTCCGTCTTCCTTGACAGCATCTCTAAATCTTTATAGAACTGATCGTGCACCCAATTGTTTCCCAAACCAATCACGTACAATTTAATGTCCAAGTCTTTCAAGGATGCTGCCTTCGATCTGATGCGATGTTTTTCATCGTCCGCGAGTTTAGGGGTGTGACAAGTAATCAGAACTATCCTGCGTTTGGTAAGGACTGTCTTTATCTTTAAGAAGATATCCATGGCGTATGTCAACGCGTCATGAAGCGGGTAACCATCCTCGGATTTCATGCTCTGGTAATCCTTCATGCCGCTTTTAACTGAAAATCATTCAGTCAGATAAATCATTAGATAAAAGTTCATATTCTTGAAGCACGCTATGTTCACTATTGATTAAACTTGATTAATGGCAACATTAATCGTAACATCAAGGATAAAACTCTCAATAACAATAAATAAACAAACAAAGTCAAATAAGAGCTAATTCGCAACGATGGTCGGGCGACAGTAATAAAACAAAAATTATAATTATAAATAAATTAACACACTGACGATACGAGATCCATACTCTCACTAAATATCTTAGAGAGCGAACATGTTGACTGCATTTTGTATTACATCTTGACCACTGCATTGAAGCACCTGACCATTGTTATGTATGTATTGAGGAGAGTCTAAACCAAGGACCAAAACATTTACTTATTATATTAATTTATTTATAATTATAATTTTTATTTTATTACTGTCGCTTGACCATCGTTGCAAATTAGCTCTTATTTGCCTTTGTTCGTTTATTTATTAATCGTAACATTAATAATTATACTTGCTTAGTTTTCTGACCAGTTGTAAATCGTCCAGAGTAACAACTCTGAGTTCGTGTAAACTCTGAATGTTCTTCCATGTTGAGTTCGCGTCGCTTCCTTCTGTACCAAATAATACCACACCCATCCAATCCTGCATACTCCATGCTAGCTTTTGCCGAAGAATTTGCTTGTACAACTGCAGGGATAATTAGTGACAATTAATTGTACATATACACATTAACCAAACTGATAACCAACGTTATAACTAACCTTGAAAAACTTTTGGATATGACTGAGCTTGGTCTCTGGTTCTACCTCAAACATCTTCTGTGTAGCATCGACGAGAAACAATGTGGCTTCTCTTACTCCGTACCATTGGCTCGCTTGCAAATCGTCTTCCCCATCCATATTGTAATCTTGTACGAGTGCCATTTCTGTTATCAGCATAATTTGTTACTATTAATTATTTCGCAGTTATCATTTAAACAATGTCTCAGAGAACATTATATGAATATTTTGAAGTCGTCTAATGGCCAGTCTACAATGAGTCGTTAGTCGTTAGTCAGATGTCGGAAGAAAAAGCTATAAGCGTATTGTAAGCAATCGAAGGCCTGTAATCGGTGATCGTAAGAGATGGCACTTGGCCAATCGCTTATGATTGCCGATTACAGACTTCCGATCGCCTTATGACACGTTTATGACTTTTTTCGACTCTCTTCCGACATCTGACTAACGACTAACGACTCATTGTAGACTGGCCATAAGAGATCATAAGAAATCTTAAAATTCCGAAAATGTCTTACGACACAATAAATCTAAACATATTTTAAGTAACTGCTGTAATTAATAATAAATACGTAGTACAGTTTGTTGATATTCATTCGTAACACACTACCGGCATTTTAGGTTCGCGAATTTATCGGAAAATATGATTAAATACTCACCTCTGAAGGGATTGAAACGCCGATGTCACAAAGACTAGAATTCTGCGAATCTCTGACGAACCTACACAAATCTACGACGTTTTTATCTTTATATTTGTCGATGGAAAGATTATCTCATTCTTCCTTATTGACTTTATACGCAAAAATCGTTGCGGATGACAACCGAAAGTGACATAGATTGGAAACATACCCAGAAGTCTATTCAAAGTTACCAACGTCGAAAAAAAAATTCCCTATCACACATGTGTCCATTCGCGAACAGGCTGAAATGCTTATAATTGATTTTTTAAAACACGATCGATATTTGATAGAAACTTATTTTTATTTTATAATTTATATGATCGCTTTGCCCGAGCCAAACAATAAAAACATTATGCATCCTAATGCATCGATAACAGCTATAAATAAAAAGACAACAGGCCAGCTGTGTGTCACGTGCAAAATGTGTCCGGAAAAATATACTCCAAGGAAACCTGAAAAAAAAAAAGAAAATTTATTAGCTGTGTAACAATCATGCGATTGTTTACATTAATTACATACCAGGTATCGCGCCAACAGTATTCATCAGACCGAATACACTGCCGGAGTGCTTTGGTGCGAGATCTGAGGGATTTACAGCGATAGCGTTATTGTGGAAGCCTGAGCCACCGATAACCAACGCGAGACAAAGTATTGCACTTTGAAAGCTTTCCACTTTCACTACAAGGAACATATACGATACAAATTATTATAACAGCATTATGAGATACAACATTAAGCCTTAATTATCAAGTGTTAAGATTTACCTAAAAATAACAGACTTCCAATTTCGATGACGAAGCAAATTGTTTGAATTGTTTTGCGTGTCACCGTCACGGAATAGCCAGTTTTAATTATCTCTTCAGATAAAGCTTTCCCCAAGAATGTACAAGGTAGCATTGATAGCCATGGCACCATATTTACAACCCAACCCTATTAATTGAAATTATTCAACATAATATATCCAGAAACAAATTATTACGTTATTTTATTATCACAAATTATTTAGTTATTAGTTAACTTTTTCTTAGGCATAAATTTGAATATTTTTTTACTAATTTTGTCATAGAACAGTTCTTATGGCTTTTTCTTTCCATATAAATTTTTTAAACAATACTGAATAAAAATTAAATAATAAGATTTTACCCTAACTTCAGGAAATGTGTCGTGGAAATATGTAGGCATCCACGAAAGTAACACGAAAAAACAGTTGTTTTGGCAGGCATGTCCAATAACACAGGACCTGAAAATCATAGTTAACAATCAATAAAGACAGTCGAGACAATCGATTTATAAAGAATGTTATATTTACAAGATCTTATGGTCATGATCTTATAATAATCGTATAATTATTACAATCAAATGATTCAGAACTGGAGCATTTGTATAAGCTAAAGCATATATGCGTAATTTAAACTCTTATTACTTTCGAGCACAATCATAAATCTTAAAAATTGATTTAGTATCAGGAGAATATATAAATATATATATATATATATATATATATATATGTATATATATATATATAATCGACAAGAAAATTACACCATTTAAAATTCCAAAAATTTTCCACGTTTTCACAAATTACAATTCTGAGAGTTCGGAATTTCAAATCGCGAAAATAAAGTCTCAGAAATCGATAAAGTATCAGGAGAATATAATCAGCAAGAAGGTTGCATTATCTAAAATTCCAAGAATTTTTCATGTTTTCAAGAATTGCGATTCAAAAAGCTCAGAATTTCGAAATCGATAAGGAGAATATAATCGAATTGCAATGCCTACGACTAACTGATTATAAAAATTTCTCTTTGTATTAGTCTATGCAAATTGAAAATATTACATTCCATGCATCATAATATTCATAATTACCAGAAAGGAGGTTGTGACAGAAGTTTGGACCAAGGCAAAGTGTAGCCAGTGGTCGACTTGACAGAAGCTGTTTTTTCCTTAAAAGGCAGAGTGTGATAGCTTAATAAAGCTGTCCATGCCAAACTCATGCCCCCTATATAAATAAATTAGTAAGCACCACAAAAGTATATCATTTCTGCTTGAAAACAAAATTAACAAAAAGACGCGTTTAACTATGGATACTTTCCGAAAATACCCTATAATTAAATTATTTTTATATGACGCATGTTCAAAAATTATCATCTTTTGTCTATAAAGTCTTCAATTAATTTAACATAAGCTACATTGTACCTAACGCCCGAAAGACGGTCATCCAGTTATAATTCTCCAGAAGATACGAGCCTAAAGACCCGGTGAGTAGAGTGCCCAGAGCAGATCCTGATGTTAATAAGCTAAAGAAGGAGGCTCTTTCTGCCTCGTGCAAGCGTTGGCTGATCAAGCTAATCATGCTAGGAAAATGCATTCCTGTAAGTGACAGGTGTCGTATTATCCACCATTGCCTTTGGTGCAACTGTATAACGTTAAAAATTTACCTTGGAATGCTCCATTTATCATTCTCATCGCTGCGACGAGCAAAACGGAGGTTCCATCCCCGGAAAAGAATTCAATGATTTCTGGCATGAGGAAGGTTGTCGCCGACCAACCGAGGGCAGATATCCACAGTACTCTCTGCCCACCGATTTTATCGCTAATATAGCCGCTGGCTACCTGCGTCAACGTATAGCCCCAGAAGAAGCTTGATAGTATTATGCCTGAATCCGATTTCGACCAATTCTTCTCCTGACTGACAACAGGTATCAACAAGGGGACCGATGTACGCGTGGCGTATATCATGCACGTGCCGCACAACAATGACAGGAACCATTTCTGCCTCTCCCTCCTAAACAAAAAAAAATTTGTCATGTTCCGATCCTAACAATGCCACTCATAATAGCAATTGTAAGGGCAACTTTGACCAACCATTCATTAATTAAATTGACAAATTTGCTTGAAACAAAATTTCTAACTATATAATTCGTTATTCCTAATCTAATCTGTTTTTCTATATGTTCATACAATAGAAAATTAATAATTCTGTGCAAAGTAATACAGGTATTGAAAAGTTAATCAGAGTTTGGTCAAAGTCACTGTAAAGTGTAAATAATGAATAGATTAGCGAAGCCTCTTCGTTTAGAAAATCGATGATCGCTTTCAGATCAATTTATCCTTTTGATTGTGTTGTATACCTTGACCAGGACAAAGCGGTCCTGTCATCGGACGGAGTGTCCAGTGATATCTGTAACTGCATCGTGTTCGCGGACTCGTTTTTAGCTCGTCGACTTCAATTTCCGTGTTGGAGCATCTCCGGCTCTCGTCGACGTTCCGCCAGAGCACGCCGTGACTTTCGCGCGCATATTTAGCGTTATTGACACGCGGCCGATCTGTCAAAATCCATACACGTCATGCTAATCTCTGCGATAACCTCTTCGCTTCGGGACTCGGGACTCTCGGGGAGTTTATATGTATATTCGGCCCACAAACACACGGCGTTGCGAATCGAGCTGGATTTTTGTCACACATGCGCAACAAACGCAGTATCAGTAAAGTACTTGTATGTAAATAAAAAAGTGTACCATAAAGTTATAAAAGATTAAATCGTCTGCTTTACAATAAAATAAAAAAATACTTTAGATCAACTATTTTAAAATAAAGTACAAGGAGTTATTAACCATTTAAAAAATATTTTCATCCAGCCATGAATTTTAAAATCTTCTAATTCTACATTTTTAAGTAACTGCGTATGTAGAATTAGAAGATTTTAAAATTCATGGCTGGATGAAAATATTTTTTAAATGGTTAATAACTCCTTGTACTTTATTTTATCAATGTTTTACTTTGTTTTATCAATGTTAAAATCCACGATGCACATATAAATTTTAACATTAACTTACCTTGTAAGTGAATTCTGAAACTCAGCTTTGTATGTATATGTACATACATACTACATATACTTTACTCGCGTAAGCGTGAAAAATCCGGCCCGATTCATACGCTACATGGCTACATAAATAAGCCGGTATTCGGTTCAAACTGTGCTTAGGTAATTTGTATTTAATCGATCTCGAACAAGCTCCGATTCGAAGTCGTTCCTATAATAGCCATTACTATAACAAAAATATTCGGGTTTAGTATAGATTCCAACGTCCATTTTTTTATAACCACGTGAAACGTGGGTGAATATAAATAAAAGTAAAATAAATATAAAATGTAAATAAACAAACGCGCGCGCGCGCGCGCGCACACACGCGCGAACACACACACACACACACACACACATGCGCGCGTGCGCACATCCGGAGAGATTATCCAATCACATAAAAAACGCGATGAGAATGATGAGAACTTCGCATTAGAGGTTGATAAATGATAATTATACACGCGCGCGTCGATTTTGTGCGTATTACTTTGTGTAAATCCACCTGGACAGACCTTGACACTTATGCCGATAAAAGAGGAGATAGAAGGGGAAAGAAAGACGAAGAAAGAAAATATTGACACATATATGTGTACGATGTAATAAGATGTGATTTAATAGTCATTTAAACGTCATTTAAACAAAAACTTCCGGACTTGGATAAACATCTGTCTATGCTCTAGAAAATACGATGTGCAAGAGCTAAGTACATTTATTTATTCCTTCGACCATCACTTTCGAATTGCACTGTAAGTCATGATACCTATGCCTGAGATGTTCGACGAGAACGTTTGAGAATTGCTTCGAAAAACTTTGAACGCTCCATCACGGAAATGACAGAGGTAAATTAAATATACAGTCGTGTTTTCTTGACTCAACATTATTTTATTCGTTATCAATATATTTGCCTCATATTTTGCATTGTTAAAACGTTGCTTTACGTTCTGCCAGTTTACGCGATTGAATGAACACAAATCATTTTATTTTTCAGACACAGAGTGATTGCATATACAATTCGATAATCATGTATTGTAAGTATACTCGCGCCGTGCCAGTGCTCTTCACCAGTGTTTGTCACATTTTATTTACTCTGTCGTGCATTATTCTGAAAAAGGAACTAAGAGGGTCGATATTTTTAATTTCAGACGAAGAACGGGCTAAGAAATGCCAGACATTTCTACGTCACCCCAACGTTCGTACATGTATCCTCAAATTTAAGGAGCAGCTTGCCCACAATCCATTTCTGCAAGTGGCTACCTTCATCGCAATAGCGTCGCTGTTGACACCCGTCCTCTTGTTTATCATGTTCGCTATTATCAGTGGTGTATTTATATTTATTGGTTTCATGATGGTTCAAGGTAAGGAACGATACACATTTCTGTTCTCGATCACAGAACGTGCGCTGTTGCTCAGACTCTAACCAAGTACATGTTGATTTCAGTGACAGTATTGGCTATTGGCGCAAGTATTTTAAGTTGTGTACTTTTCTGCATCGCAAGCACTATTGTAATGGTAGGATTATTTATCCTTTTCGTCTATTACACGTTATATTATACAAACCACGCGTTCAATCTTTTGATATGTACTAAAACCTGAGTTGTGTATAAAGACTTACATTTCTAATAAGTATAAAAAAGAATAAGAATATAAATAACACTTAAATAGAACAAAAAAATGTTTTTTAATGTTTGCCATAAATTAAAGATATATTTAGTGTAATGTGCAAGACCATATCCAAATATGGAGGTATTATATAGACTGATATATGTCTACATATATGTATATTATCTATCTTAAAAGTAATAAAATATTAGAATTACATAATCTCACTTAAAGTATAACATTTACATTAATCGGGAATGTTTGATTGAAGATTCTCGTCTCTAATCTCGCCTTCGCTTGTAGACAAATGTATCTCGTGCCACAGCGAGTCAGTTAACTTGTCATTAATCTCTTGATTTTCATAATAAAAGTGGTGAATATAGTCGCGTTTGTTCGAGACATCTGTATCAAGAGTTAAGGATTGCGAATATGCTTTTCTGCTACTTACTAACAAAAAGACGTAGCTAGCGTGAAATATGAAATGACATTCCATATATATAGATTGGTTATATAAAGTAACGTAAGGCATGAATGTAAAAAAAAAAGGATACAGCCTTTAATACCAAACTTTGTAGCTTCGTAATCCCATTGTATCTTAGTAAAATCCTTATACAATTTCAACTTTTTTCTACGAAATGAACAAAACAATGACAACACTGATGAAAGATCAAGAACGCATTAATGTGCAATGATAATACATACTTTCCTTGCTCCAGCACTTGCTGATCTTGTAAATTTGGCTTGGCAGACCTCAAGCTGTTACGTTTCCCTTCTAATTGTTTGAGCTCTTGCAAGAGTTTCTTTCTTTCCGCTTCCAGCTCTTCCTGTTAAAGAGTATTCAGTAATAGTGAGATATTCACAGATGTTCCCGGATGGAAAAAAATTAAGGTATATCATACTCACTAAATAAACCTTTTCTCTTGATAATTCGTCATTTTTTTGCTCCAAAGTTTGTGTCTCCGTATACAGCGTCTCTTTCATAACATCCAATTTTGATGTTAATTCCTTAATCTTAGTTTCGTCCTCTGTAAAATATAAAAATTTTGTTATAGAAGAAAATTGTGTAAGAATGTGACCACTATCCTACAATTTTATAAGGATTTTAAAGCAACTTAAGATAACGCCAGCAATTTATTTCCCTTCCTAGATTTATTTGCCCTCAAATTAAATTATTCTACGTATTCGCGAATAACAAAATTTACCAATGAATCGTTGATCTTGATTCCTTTTGATCTCGTCCACAATTTCTGCCTTAGATAGCAACAGCTGTTGGAGTGTCGATGTGTCCACATTCACGAATTTCTTCTTCAGCGATTCTAGCCAGTGGTCTTCCATAGTTTAATATAAAACCAATTAATCTCGCGATAACCTGAGACACGAGATCTCTTTGACGTTTATTTACGTTATAAAATTCGAATCGTCTTTAACAGGGTCGACACAACCGTGATATTAAAAAAAGGTATAACAACATTAAAATGGCACAGTCCAATGGCGTTTGAGAACAAATCACTGAACAACCTCTATGAAGTTGGCCGGACAACTTCAACGTATCGAACTTTCATTAAATGGAATCAATTGGTGGTCGTTTGGTGGTCTTTGGTAGTCTAGTCCGATCGTTTGG